AGATAGAGGTAAGACGCATCTTAGTGAGCTTCATCCTCAAGTTCATGTAGCAAGAGGAGGCTATTCATCGCATCTGGTATATTTTTAAGAGATAACAACTCATCTCCTAGTAGATTGTCCTCTTCTTGATGACGACTTGTTCACCAATCAATTAGAGATAATTTACTCAATAAATTTACGATCTTTTTATCCATAATTATTTCACAATTTTAGTAATGATGCTTTGCGAATCATGTTGATGAGATTTTTTCATCGATAATTGAGTAATTCTGATGGTTTAATCATTCATCAATAATTTAAAAAAATTATGATTTAATTAGATAAAAATGAGTTTTAACTTTGGTAAGATTCGAATCCTCATCGGTTATCTGCCTACATGAGATAAAGTGAACTAAATATGTGAATACCCTTATAAAGTGACGTCATAAGAGTATCTATTTCTCATAAAAAATGAGTATTTTAGGTATTAAAACTATTAAAAATCTTGCGAGAATCTGTGACACTAGTTTAGTCACACATCGGTTTTCTGAGTTTTGAGGTATATATATATAATAACACAAGATTTGGTCATCAATAAGCCTCTCTCTCGTGTGTGTATGATCATTCTTTGCCCCACACTCAATTGGCTCAGTGATGTGGAAGGGGAGTGATGCACACATGCCGTCCCCCCTATCAGTCCTTAGCTAGTCATGCCTCTTGCTCGCGAACTCTGCCTAATTGTGCTTCCAACTTACTTGTAGGCCTGACTGGCCAATGGGTTCCTCCCTTTTTCTATATTTTTATTTTATTTTATTTCTCTTTATTCATCTAAAAACTAATTATTATCTTAATATATCACTAATATCTTTAAATGTTTTATTTATTTAATCTTGAAACTCAATAAAATCTAATTTTGAGAAAGGGGATACTTTAGGGACATTGTCATTAGTAATAAAAGAAAATTTACCTCAAGACATTTCTCAATCTTGATTTGAAACATTGACTTCTTCTGATATCAACTACCAAAGTTATAATGTAGAAGATAACAAGATTTGAGGCTTAAATCTATAAAACTCCAATCTTTGAGAAAAAACTAACCTTTGAATCTATATATTTGAAGTTTTTAATCCTGGAATCCACAAACGAGTCACCTAAATCTTCAAGTAGAAGAGGGAGAGCTCTCACAATGGAGAAAACTTTATTCAACTTCAAAAGGTTTCATCCTTATGTTACAATGAGGGCCTTTATATAAGCCTAAAAAAGAGGTGGGGCACTCTTAACAAGAAGATCTTGAACAAATCCTAGGGGTGGACTCTGTCTAGCTCGAAAATGACCTCAAGCAAACTCTAGCATATTAAGATCTTGAATAAATCCTGGGGAAAAGCTCTGAACAATATTTAAAGTAATTTCTAAAACAATAGAGACATTAAATACCTTTTAGAAGGAAATTGATATACCTCCATGCCACTAGTGACTTATTTGGGCCTTTTTTAGCACTCTTCATTTTATAACCCAAATTCGGAGTAATTGGGTTCAGATTCGAAGTTAGAACTTTATCTTTTGTGTCATGGGCTACATCAAGTCTTATCTCTCCTCCTCGAGGGTTCTACTTGAGCAGGGATCGTTCTACGGTATCTGACAAAGTCCACTGCTGTGGAACACCGGAGCGCTCACTGTGAACGCCTCTCTTAAGGTGATGTCTCTTATCGTCATCGCCGTCATCATCACTCCTCCATTGGAGTTTATTTGGAGAGTGAATCTGCTGTGGTTGGTTACGGTGTGATTTCACAGCTCCGGGGATGCAACGTCGTCAAGTTTATGGGAGCTTTTTTCCGGAGAGAGAGAGAGAGAGAGGCAGAGACAGAAAGATAGGGAGAGAGAGAGAGGTTTGGATGGAGTAGGGCGTCCACGACTCTGATCGACGAGTGTCATGTCCTTGACATGGTTCAGGTGGAGAACCTCCTTCGGTGGGCTCCGTGCAAAACCCTCGAATCAGTCACCAGTTCAATCGCAGCGGACGATTAAGCTCCTCTTTGAAGCAACCATGGAACATTAAATGCTGGCATCTCTCAAGAGTTAACGGCGAGCGGACCACCCAAGGTGGCCCGGGCCAGAGATTGAGTCAACCGGAAGCCAGTGCTGATGCATCGACCGGTCGGCAAACCCATGAATAATAGGAAAACAGAAAGAGAGAGAGAGAGAGAGAGAGAGAGAGAGAGAGAGAGAGAGAGGATTAGCTCGGCCTCGGAAAGACGGAAGCCTCTCGCGCCTAGGTGAGGCAAGTGGGAAGATGGGGGAGAGTCCAAGTGTGAGGATTCAGGAACGCAATCCGTGGTCTCACGGGGAAACTAGATTTTTAAGAGGAAGACGGAAAACAACGGAAAGGGCTGTCAGATGGGTGAGGACGAGGAAGAGCATGGATTTCTGCAAGCCTTCATTCTGTTCCGTGGTGTTTACGACTCCAATTTCATCAGTTTTCACATTGTTTATTGAGCAGTCTAGGGACCACGTCCGCTTCAAGAATAGGGCTCTTGAGGAGCTGTTCCCCAGTACTTGCCAAGTCTAATTGAAGTCGTCTCTAAGAAGGCCCGGACCTGGTCTGAACTTGGAGGATAACTCGGAGAATGAGCTCCCTGCTCGACTTCTATGAAGCCCAAATAAGACTTAAATCGGCTTAGCTTTCCTATATAAGTCTCTCTCTCTCTCTCTCTCTCTCTCTCTCTCTCTCTCTCTCTCTCTCGTTCACACATGCACACATATTGGGGAGCGGGCCAATATTTACCATGGTTTTGAGAAGGATAGCCATAGAAGAAGCATGTGTATATAATAATATATATTCAGGAACAAGTAAAGATCGTATGATTAATGAAGATGAATTAAAACGACGGGAGTGGTCTTAAATGAGCAGCATGCGAGATGGGAACGTGAAAACTTGACTTTGAAGACTTTGACCATATTTTACGTTTTCTACGAACAGATCTCTTCGTCACGGAGAGGCTTGGAATCGTGAACGAAGAAGAAGAAGAAGAAGAAGAAGAAGAAGAAGAAGAAGAAGAAGAAGAAGAAGAAGAAGAAGAAGAGGGAAGGCGTGTTATGTGTGTGCGTGCCGAAACACCCGAGATTAAGCGAGAAAAGGACAAGGATGTTTCAAACCGAGGGAGAAACTTGGGGAAGACCGCAGCGGAGACGACGTCTCTCTCTCTCTATCCATCTATCTATCTAGCTATCTATCTCTCTCCCAACCTTCAGTTGGTTGGAGTTACGAGTGTAGTCTGAGGAGATGGCTTCTATCCTACTCTTGTGTCGACCCTTCCGCAGCCTGCGAAGACAAACTCCGCGGACGATCATCCTGGTTGATCGCGCGTGCGTGGCCACGTCAAGAAGCGTGATCCCGCCGGCGAGGGCTCCATGTTTTCAGTCCGGGCATGGCGGAGAGGTCCACGGCAGCTAAGAAGTTAAATTTTGGGCTGGAACCTTCTGTCTTGAGCAATAAAGATTAGGAACACCTGTTCATAACACGGTCAGCTCAGCGTCTCCTAGACGTTGGTCGAAAGCCATTAGATATCTAGAGGGAAACCTGCTATGGTGGAAAGACCAAGATTTGGATGTCACTCTCGGAACTGGTCTGGTTGATCTCTGAATATCCGGGAGGAAGACGATAAGAACGTTCCCGTTGCTTTCTCTCCTTGACTAAACAATGGAGACGACCTTCATGCCCTTCAGGTTTTCAGGAAATGCACAAAATGACCGTTGGGACCGCCGCCACTCTCTCACTCTCTCTCCCTCTCTCTCCCCCATAGCAAAGGTCCGCCAAACCCAGTCCGTTTTACAGTCATATAATACCAATTTAGAACCAAGGTTGAGACGAGCAAAGTTTCTTAGGGACGGAGGATCGGAGAGGGGAAGGGGAGAAGGATTTTCGGATCGCACACATCTAAGGTAGAAAAATGGAGGTTTCTGGGGAATTTGCAGTGAGAGTCCTTGGGATCAAACGGATGCTTCTCCTAACACTTCGTTTTTCTACAAGAACGACGCCGTTTTCCCCATGGGAGGGACAATAGCGTATGAGCCGGCCTAGAACCCTAGGCGTTTGACGCGTGAAAGCTCAGAGATGAGGTAAATTTTTTTAAGGGTAAGTGGGAAGACGAGGGAAATCCCCAAGAATTCAGTCTCCTCGAGATCATTCCATTTACCGAATATAAAATTTCCTCTTCCGGATAGGTTTGGAAGGTGAACTCGAGCTCTGAATAAAACCCGTTAAGTCGAAGTGCATTGACCTTGGCTCCTTGGTAGCCGTGTGTCCGACTTTTAAAAGAGGTCATCTATATATCTCTCTCTCTCTCTCTCTCTCTCTCTCTCTCTCTCTCTCGCTACCGCTGTGGCTTTTATACGAGGTTCTCGTTGTCTCCTCAAGTCGGCCAGCGGGGGCTTCACCGTATGAATCCAGAAGTTCAGGCGGAGCTCCGGAGGTATAAAGCCACCCGCAGAATCATGCCCGTCATTGAACTAGGCGAAGTGTGAACGAGCTAACGCGAGGTCAATGAAGCCTTTTCGAACTCGCTTTTTTTTGCGTCTCCTCCACTGCTAGTTCTTCTTACTAAAGTGTGCGCCTCCTAGTTTTAGTGTCTTAGAAGGTTTCAGCAATCCGCTTCGTTCTAGGTCAAGTCGAGAAGGAGACCTGGCTCAGGGGACCTCCCAGGGGCTTAGCTCTTTCATTGGTAGCTGTTTCAGAGATTACCCTTCCCTCATCCGCCCACCCTTGATACCTTTCCTCATTACTTCAAGGAATCCTCATCCGTCTTTGGAAGGCTTTCTCACGCAGGATCCGTGCACTGCACCGCTATTATCTTTGACTTGGTACACTTTCTCTGAACAGATCGGAGTTTAGGGTTTCCTTATTCTCATCATAGGCTAGCTTTTGAGTTTCCACTGGTGTTTTTCGGAGTTAGTAGTTCTCGAACTCTCTTAGAGAGAGGAGACCGTGTTGCAACCTCGGGCGTCTTACCGCCCTCTCCCTTGCAATGGACGCCAAGAACGACGTGGAGAAGGCAGACGAGGCGATGCTGCCTGGTTTCAGGTTCCACCCGACAGACGAAGAGCTTGTGGGGTTCTACCTGAAAAGGAAGGTTCAGAAGAGACCCGTCTTCATCGAGCTCATCAGGCAGCTGGACATCTACAAGTACGATCCATGGGATCTTCCCAGTAAGTCTCTTTCTCTTTGTGCTATCGCCTGTGCTCTATTCTCTCTCTTTTCTCCATCATTCTCCTATTATAAATAATCGTTTTTTTCAAAGAAACACATCTTTTCAAGAAGGCAGCCCATTATTCCCTCTTCCTCACATGCTCTTTCAGCTGGCCTGTTGTTGATCGTCCTCTTGTATTGCCTTAGACGTGGCCGCGCCCTCTCTTAGTGGCTGTCTACCTCTGCGCTTGTTCAGCATTTCATCTCCTCCCCATCCCCGGAACCCTACCTACTCCACCAGAAGCTACCCCTCCGTCCGCGAGTGCACCACTAGCTTTCACGAGAAGTCGTGGTTTAAGTTGACGGCAAGGCGAGGATTTCAGACTCTACCCTCGTTCCTTTGATGTCCCCACACTCATGTAAAGTCCAGCACAGCGTGTACATAAGATAATGGGAGTATAGTTTCACATCGATGGAGTTTGGTCGTCGAGAAGGGCTTGGAAAACTCTCGCCCTCTCCAGAGATGGGCACCCTTACGCGTCTAACAATACATATATATATATATATATATATATATATATATATATATGACTGTTATCCCTCTGAGTGGGTCTTCTTCCTTGGCATGAGAAGAGCTGGCGACGATGGGAGAGAAGGAGTGGTACTTCTACTGCCCGAGGGACAGGAAGTACAGGAACAGCGCGAGGCCGAACCGAGTCACCGGCGCCGGATTCTGGAAGGCCACCGGCACGGACCGGGCGATCTACGCCTCCGAGGGGAGCATCTGCATCGGCCTGAAGAAGTCCCTTGTGTTCTACAGAGGAAGAGCCGCCAAGGGGATCAAGACGAACTGGATGATGCACGAGTACAGGCTCCCATCCCTCGGAGACTCTTCTTCCCTCCCCAGCAAGACCGTAGGCAAAGAGATCTCTGCGAGTGTAAGCAAGCTACTCATTCTCCCATTACAACATCCCCTCGCATTGATTTCTAAAAACTATAGGTTTAACACTATGCTGTTAATCGGTTAAGAACAGTAAAGTATTTGGTATAATTTCTGGGTTCTTCGTTATTTGGTTTTAGCTCCGAATAAAAACCCTTTGGATTTCAGAAAATCGGGCTTCGGCTTAACCCTCCCTCGTGCTACTCGCAGGACTCGTGGGCGATCTGCCGGATCTTCAGGAAGACCTGTTTAGTGACTCAGAGATCTCTCTCCCATTCATGGGTTCCGCCGCTCGCAGAGGAGTTCCCAGTCTCCGGGACCCTTCACCGCCCGGAGCTCACTTCTGAAGGCATCTCCTCCTGCCCGGTTGAAAGGATGAGGTCAACCCAGCAGAGCGGGAACACCGAGCATGAGCCGGCCCCCCACTCCGATTACTCATCTATGGACATCACTCCCTACAGACTCTCATCTGCCGGTCTCCCCTCCGGCATAACGACGCTTCTCCAGACCGAAGCGCCGGCGTCTTCAAGGTGCCCCCTCGACGGCGCCGCCTTGCTGCAGTACATGCAGCCTCAGTTGGTCGGAGACGCAGAGAAGAACTCATCGTCCTCCACGGATTTCAATCACCATCAGCCGCAGCAACTTCACGCCTTCTCTACGATCGATTTGCTGCTGGAAATGACGGGAAATCTGGGAAGAAGAGGAGAGGAGATGGGTACCAGGAAGAACCCGGATGCCTATTTCCAAGCTAATAATGGCGACAGCCACTGGGAGACTCTGAGTGCCGTTGCTCTTCCATTCGCTCCACCGCAGAATCGCCCGGCTGCATGGAAAGCTGGGTTGGAGAGGGACTCAATCTTTAATTTACTAGAAAATGAGAAATACCTCTAAGTTTTAATAAGTCAAGATGCCCGAGTTGGTCTAAGGCGCCAGTTTCAGGTACTGGTCGGAAAGGGCATGGGTTCGAATGTAGATTCAGCATCTTCGTCTATCAACAGATGTGATGTCTTCTCAGCTTAAGGTGCTGATCACAGCGACATGGATTCAGTGAGTCCCATTCTCGACAAGTCAACCATCTCATCAATGTGCAACAACGTTCCCCATAAACTATGGGAAAACTAGAAAAAATTACTATAATTTACAGGCTGTTTCTTTCTTTAAACAAAGAAATAAACTTTTGAAAAAATAAAGGCTCCTTGACCAACAAAAATGATTTTGGGAGCCAAAAAAGGAAAAAAAAATGGTCAGCGTGCCTCTGATCTAATGGTCAACCCACCCGGCTTCCATCGTCTACCCCACGAAACTCCACCCGGCTTCCTTCTTCACTCCGGCGAGCCTCATCGAGCCTCTGACATCCAGCGCCGCCTTCCAGTCCCCCACATCCGCCGACAAGTTCGACAGAGAGACGTAAGCTCCTGAATCTCCGGGCTCCAGCTCGAGGATCTTCTCCGCCGCCAGCCGCCCCAGTTCGATCTCCCCATTGGCTCTGCAGGCCCAGAGCAGGGCACCCCACACCGCCGCCGTGGGCTCCGCCGCCATGTCCTCAATGAACGCCGCCGCCTCCTTCACCTTCCCCGCTCGGCCGAGAAGGTCAACCACGCAGGCGTAGTGAGCCGCCTCTGGTTTGACCCCGTGATCCTCCTCCATGGATCTGAACAGCCGCAGGCCTTCCTCCATCATCCCGCAGTGGCTGCAAGCGGATAGCAAGGTCACAAAGGTCAACGAGTCGGGAGTTGTCCCCTTCCTCCTCATCTGGTCGAAGATCCTCAGCGCCTCCTCCGCTCTCCCGTTCTTCGAGTAGCCGTCGATCATCGCCGTACACGCCACCACATCGGGCTCCGTCACCTGGTCAAAGGCTCTCCGAGAATCCTGGATGCTCCCGCAGGCGGCGTACATGGCGACGACGGCGCTACCGACTGAGAGGTCGGAGATGGTCCCCGTCTTCGTGGCGAGGGCGTGGAGCTGCTTCCCGGCCGCCGGCTTGCAGAGCTCGCCGGCGGCGGCGGCGGCCGCGGAGCAGGCGAAGTGGTCGGCCCCCAGCCCCGCTGCCAGCATCCCGATGAAGGTTGATAGGGCCTCGCCGGCGGCGCCGTTGCGAGCATACCCGGCGACCATCGCCGACCAGGCGAGCTGGTTCTGGTTCTTGTGGTCCGCCGTGCGGAAAACTCCGGCGGCGGCGGAAAGAGCTCCGCACTTGGAGTACATCGAGATCAGGGCGGCGACGACGGCGGCGTCCTCTCCAAACCCTAAACGAATGGCCCTCCCGTGGGCCTCCTTCCCTCCGACCAGATTCCTAAGCTCCGCGCAGGCCGTGACGGCGTACGACAGCGTCGTCTCATCCAGCTCCGCCACCGCAGTTGCAGTTGTAGTTTCAGACATCATCACCATCATCTCCCTGAACAGGTCAAGGGCTTCGTCGGCGCGGCCGTGCTCGGCGAGGCCGGCGATCATTGAAGTCCACGCGATCCCGTCCTTCTCCGGCATCTCCCTGAAGAACTCCTTGCTGTCGCAGAGGCTGCCGCACTTGGAGTACATGGTGAGCAGGGCGCCGGCCACCGGGAGGAAAACGACCAGACCAGACTTGACGACCAGAGAGTGCACCTGCTTCCCCCAGGCCATGGAGCTCGTCGCCCGTAGTACGCTGCAACAGCAGATCTCATCAGGCTTCAACCCATCCCGGAGCATCCGACGGAAAGCTTGAAAGGACTTGGCCGGATTCATGGCGAAGGCGGAGATCATCGCCGCCGAGGAGCCCACATCTCTTCCCCTTGCTTCATCGTCATCTACCTCCTCCTCCTCGAAGAGCTCCTCCGAGAACGGGAGCTTCCCGGCCTTGGCGTAGGCGTTGACCATGGCGGCTCTCACCACCGGATCGCCGGAGAAGCCGGACTTGCAGATGCAGCCGTGCAACTGGGCGGCCTCCGCCGTCATGTCCGGACTCCCGCAGGCGGCTAGCACGCTGGTGAGCGTGTACCTGTTCATCTCGCCGGCGGCGGCCGTCGCCCTCATGGCTCCGAAGAGAGAGAAGGCCCTCCGGGGATCTTGGAGGCTGAAGGCGGAGATCAAGGTCGTCCAAGAGACAACATTGTGGGCCGTCATCTCCGAGAACTGGGAGGCGGCGCCGCCGGTGTCCCCGCACTTGGCATACAGATCCACCAGAGCGCTGCCGACGACAACGTCGCCGCCGGCGCCGCTCTTGACTACCAGCCCGTGGACCGCCCTCCCCACCGGCAGCTCGCCGGCGCCGGCGCAAGCGGTGAGCACCGTCGAGAAGGTGAACTCGTTCGGCGAGGAGATCCCCCCGGCCATTTGGAGGAACATCCCCAGCGCCAGCCGGTGCTCCCCGTTCCTCACCGCGCCGGCGATGGCGGCGTTCCAGACGACGACGTTGGTGGTGGGATTCTCCGAGAACAGCGCCGCCATCTCCCCGAGGCGCCGATTCTTCGCGAACAGGTCCACTAGCCCCGCCGCAACGTACCCATTGGAAGAAAAGCCGTTCTTCACCACCAGCGCCTGGAGCTGCCTGCCGAAGCAGAGCTCACCGGCCATGGCGCAGGCGGAGAGGATGCTCCCGTAAGTCACCTCGGTGGGCCGGCAACCCCCCGCCCGCATCAGGTGTAGACTCCGCAAAGAGTCAACGAGGTGGCGACGCTGGTTGTGGATGGAGATCTTCAGGTTCCAGGAGATGGCGTTTGGGTGGGGAATTTCGTCGAGCAGGCCGAGTGCAACTTCCAGGAAACCCGCCTTCCGGTAGGCGTCGGCGACGCAGTTGGCAGAGTACGTATCCGCCGCCGCCCTTAGCATGTGGCAGTGGAGAGCTCGAGCCTCCATGAATGACACGCCGCCGCCGCCGCCGACGACGACGGAGGAGGAGCGACGGGAGCTGCCGGGAAGGGGAGGAAAGGGGTTTAACGCAGCAGAGACGGCGGCAGCGGGGAGAAAGAAGGAGAGGCGAGCGGCGGGATAGGGCGCCGCCACCGCCGGAGGACGGCGGAGGAGGTACTGGCTCAGGCCGGGGGGAGCTCTCATCGCTCACTCCGCCGTAGCAGATCTCGCCGGCGGTGACCAACAGCTTCTTGATAAGATCGTCACTCGAGAATGGTCGCCGTCTCTCCGGCCGATGGGCATATCGTATCGCCCCGAATGAATCGCTCCGGCTAACTTGCCGGAACCCCGCCGCCTGTAAATCAGGCGGCGCTGAAGAGGAAGCGTACTATATATTCATCTATGGGCACGGTGGTCTAATCGAAGAACAATCATTAATGTCGCATTGTTACTATGAGAGGGCCAGTTGTGCCCTGGAAAACAAAAGCCATAGACAAAGAACTCAACTTCTCTCTCTCTTTCTACTCTCTCTCTCTCTCTCTCTCTCTCTCTAGAGCTACTGCTTGGAGGCTTGCTTCCCCTTGGCCTTCTGGATCTTGAGCACCTTCTTCACGATCTTCTGCTCCTCCACTAGGAAGGCACGTATGATCCTGAAGAACCCACATGGGTCAGAATTCATACAGATATGGGCGAGAGAACCAGCTGATGAAGAGGGGATGGATGTGACCACCTCTCGCGGACGGCGCCGCCGGAGAGAACGCCACCGTAGGCCCGGTTGACCGTCCTGCGATTCCTCGCCAATCTTGATCGCCGGTACTCAGTGGGCCGCAGATGGGGAATCTGTGATCCACGAGATATATGATTCAATATGATTCATGCGGAAAAAATGCAGAGGACGATTCTCCAGCAGATCTCGAGAGGTAGAGGAAAGAAACTGATGAACAACGGGATGAAGATTCATGCCTCCTCATAAAAAAAAGAAATTACAGATAAATTTCCAACTATTTGTTCAAAGAAATATGTTTTTACCGGCCCAATAAAAAAAAATCAGAAACATTAAGCATTTTCATGCTTCATCATCCATGGAACAATGCCGGATGAATTGTCCAAGATGTCCACTCTTCGTCAACCCACATCGCAAGAACACCCAAGAGATAATTGCACCATAATCATGCAGTGGATAGTTGCAGAAGCATGATGCTCCACTAGGGGAAATGAATGATGAGCAATGGAAGCAATGCAAGCACATACTGGAAGGCATCAATTCCAGACTGGAACTGATTGATGAGAGCATGAACAGAGCAAAATTCAGATTCTTCGACCAGCGTTGAGAAAGAAGGGCGAGCATCGCATGGCGAGGATTTCGGGCACAATGCTTGAAACCCGATCATCTTCATAGAGGAAATCAAATCCGAAGGATTATTTAGGGTTTAATTTAATGCTCAGTCCGCATCAATTCCAATCGGAATTCCTTGGATTCAATTTTTTCGGTGCCGAAGCCGGATTGCGTTCCATAGATGGGCGGTGAACGAAGCAGATTCGATCTGGATAAACTGTCCAGTCGAAAGAGAACTGATATCAATGGCGGCGTCGAGGGGGGATGACTGACAGAGTCGACAAGCCTACCCCCTGGATTCTCTTCCCAGTGACTGGGCATTTCGGCCCGCTCGCCCTCTTCTTCGTCGACTGGTAGACGAGCTTTCCGCCTGGCACAAACACACAAATCAATCAATCTCAGATCCCGTGGCATTACGTGCCGGCAAGAGAAAATACGAGGAAGAAGAAGGAAAACCCTAGATTCTCGTCACGCAGCAGCCGGGAAATCACGGGGGAAATCCCAGGCGGCATAGAAGGAGGAAAAGAGAAAGGAATCAAGGCTACATCGTCGGAAATGTTCGGTCAACGAGGGACATTGTAGCAAAAGACAAGGATCAGACTCCACGGCATAGACCACACGAAGGTGATGAAAAGAGGAGCATCTGGAGGAGCAGGGGAGGCGGCGATTCTCACCGGGGGTCTTAACGATCCGATGTTGGTTGGACTTGGTGGCGTAGCTGTGCCGCCTCCGGTACGTCAACCGCTGAACCATCTTCACCTCCTCTCTCTCTCTCTCTCTTTCTTCCTCCCCGCGCGCGGAGTAAGAGAAGGTCGAGCGGCCAAACTTCTGTAACAGGTATCGAAATTCCGTTCAAGTAGTCGAATCCCAAAAAGGTACCCTAGATCTGACGGCTGCCTGCCTTACATCGGAGGGTGGGGAGAATACTGGGCCCGGCTCGTCAAGGCAGGCCCAATTAATAAATGATTATTTTGAATACTTTACCAACTGGGCTGTCCAAGAACGGGGCCATATAAATGGGCCTCATAAATGGCCCGTGACATGTTTAAAGCAATTGGGCTGGATCCAATCCGCCACCTTGGAAAGCATGCTATTATTAGAGCAATATTATTATTCTTATTATTATATTTGAAATGATTTTGGTTTTTCGAAATTATTCAGATTTCCCCGAAATAAATGTGGGGGGAGGATACGAAAGCGAAATAAATGTGGTATATATTTATTTTTAAAAATAAAAATAAAAATAAATGGAGTAGAAGTGCACAAATCATGGTTTAATCAGAAGGAAAAACTTTGGAGTAGATTACGTAATAAGAGAAGGAAAAATAAATGCCCCAGAAAATAATGAAGATGAAAAAAGCGTGAAGACCCATGAGAAATCCCCTTATTTTATTATTTTTTGTGTAATAAATATGTGAATTAAGTATATGATTCATGAGAAAATAATAATAAATAAATAAATAACTGGCTGGTATTTGGGAGGGAGGAGAAAAATCTCTCGGGGAGGGAAGGTTCCACAGCCTCGGAAACCAACCAGTCGGCGTGGTCGGAAATGGGAAGGCGGAGGAGGGAAGACAAAAAGGCGGCGACTTTTACTACGGAATGGAGCTCGTCAACCCTTCGTCTTCCTCCTCGTCTTCGTCGTCGTCCTCCGGGATCTGCAGCTCTTCTCATCTGAACCCACCGCCTGATCCCCGGAGTTCTCCGCCGTAGATGGCCCCCTTCGCCGCCGCCCTCTCCCACTCGCCCGTCCCCGCGTTGATCCGCTTCGGGGGGTCCTCCGCTCCCGTCCATCGCCTCCGCCTTCGCACCGCCGGTGCGCGGTTCGGCAGGCTGCCATCGCTGAGGAGGGCGAACATTAGATGCGGCTCCTCCTCTTCGGATTCCTCCCGGGGCGCCGCCGTTCTCGCGAAACCCTCCGGCGAGCCCAAGGTTAGGGCATCTCTGAGATTGCTCGGTTTCGATCTGTTCTTTCCCGTCGGAGATTCCCCGGTTCATTCTGTTTCTTTGCTTTCGATTCGCCGCCGTTTCAAATTTTCCGATTTCTCCGGAAAACAAGCGAATCGAGGATTCAATTCAGCCCACTGCGATTCACCTGGTTTACTTCCTGCGATCGGGGCTCATTGTTTTCCGGTGGATCTCAGACGGGGAGCTGGGCGTGGAGATTTGAAGAACAGTCCGTGAATGTTTACTACGAGGTGCACGGGGAGGGCGGCACTGGAAGCTCGAAGACCGTCCTCATGATCCCGACCATCTCTGACGTGAGCACGGTGGAGGAGTGGAGGGCAGTGGCCAGAGACATCGTCGGCCGCGGAGGGGAGACGAACTGGCGCGCCGTCATCGTTGACTGGCCTGGCTTGGGATATTCTGATCGGCCCTCCCTGAACTACAATGCCGACGTTATGGAAGATTTCCTGGTCGCCTTTCTCAATACCCAGAACGGCCCTCTCTCCGGTGCAGGTTCGTCATCGCCTCTGGGATTATCCCACTCAATCAGTGGTCAACGCTGATTGGTTCTATATGCTTCCATGGAGTCCAATTCTTTCTTCTTTCTTCTCTCTAAAGGGTTGACCATTCGCACACAATGGATATGTTCTTCCTGTCAGTCTTTTTTATCAGTGTTCCATTTTGAAACTGTGCCGCCGTTGGTTGTGATCGCAAAAATTTGTGATTTATTAACGGCATCTTCATCGTTGACTTTGTTTTGAGATACGGGACGGTGTTCTATCCATTGGCCTACCCATTTACTTTAAAATGATTTTACGGACCTTCGGTTTGACTTTTGATTCGTGATTAGGTTTTTTGCCAGATATAGACGATGTTCCATGACCATCGCCCATTTGGGCCAGTGCTTGATCCTGTCTATTGCCCTGCCCATTCTCAGCGATTTAAAGTTTGACTTTTGCTTCTTTATGTTTCTGGCGGTTGTTTGAAGTTTCCTTGTTAATTGTGTTCCCCTTCTTATTGTGGTGACGAAATTCTAGCGAAATTCTAGCATAGACGGGTGGGTTTTTAACCTCCTCCTATTCCAGATTAGGAGTCAACGATGAGAGATAAACCCTGAATCGTCATATCAGAAAAAAATGGGATATTGATTCCAGCGGCCCTGTGGGCTGACCACTGGAAAAAAAAAAAAAAAATCGTCTTTCTGACGGAAAACAAAGCTGCCTGCCTGCGGACTTTCTAATTTGGTTGCCATTTTTGGATCCAACCTCGGAGTTTGTCATCGCAATCCCATCACAGCATTTCCAACTCTGAACTGGCATCCGGCTGTTGACCAGGTGAGGGGCCGATCATCTTCGGCGGAGGCCATGCGGCGACCATAGCCCTTCGGGCAGCGAAAAAGGGCCTGGTGAAGCCTTCGGCGGTGGCCGCCGTCGCCCCCACCTGGGCGGGCCCTTTGCCTATCGTCTTCGGCCGAGACTCCAACATGGAATCCAGGTTCCTATCACTAAACAAGATCCTCTCTCTCTCTCTCTCTCTCTCTCTTTCTCTCTTTCTTTAACCTCAAATCCCATTCAGAATGTACCATCTGAGCTCAGTTGGGATGGGTGCAGATACGGGCTTCTGCGGGGGACGCTGAGAACGCCGGCGGTGGGATGGGTCATGTACAGCATGCTGGTGAGCAACGAGAAGGCCATCCAGACGCAGTACACCTCTCACGTCTACGCCGACGCCAGCAACGTGACGGAGGAGATAGTGAAGAGCCGCTACGAGCTGACCAAGCGCAAGGGCGCGCGCTACGTGCCGGCGGCGTTCCTCACCGGCGAGCTCGATCCGGTGGCTTCGCGGGAGGAGTTCCTCGCGCTGTTCGCAGAGATGGAAGGGCGAGTGCCAGTTCTAGTCGTAGGGGCGGAGGGCGCGCCGAAGAGGTCCAAGGCGGAGATAGACGCTCTGAGAGGGGCCAGGGGGGTGAGCAAGTTTGTGGAGGTCCCCGGAGCGCTGCTCCCTCATGAGGAGTACCCCCAGGAGGTTGCGGCTCAGCTGTACCAGTTCTTGGAGGAGACCTTCTCCTCAGCCTGAGAGTCTGCCGTCTCTCGAACTGAATCTTGTGAATTTTTGGACTTTTTTTTTCCAACTAGCGAGAGAGAGAGAGAGAGAGAGAGAGAGAGAAGGGGGGGGGAGGGCGGAATAAAGTGAATAAAGTGGCTTCCCGTAGGGTGTGGAATAAAGTGAAGCCCAGCTGTGATCAGAGTTGTTCATCTCTGTTAGTGGTCTGTGAATGAGTGGGTGCGAGAAGCTTGATGTTGCCCCTGTTCTTGAAGGCGACGAAGGCATCGACACCGCCCTTGATGAGAGTTGAAGACCCGCCTCTACCGAGTGCAGATCATCGACCACCAGTACATGAAATACTCTTGTTTCTGAAGCTAAGCCTTCTTGCTCTCAAATGCACATTTTACTCGTGGTACAAGCGACAATGGGCTTTATCCTTACACAAATGCACCTGTTATGCTGAGTGGAGGGGGAGAGAGAGAGAGAGAGAGAGAAATACTCTTGTTTCTGAAGCTAAGCCTTCTTGCTCTCAAATGCACATTTTACTCGTGGTACAAGCGACAATGGGCTTTATCCTTACACAAATGCACCTGTTATGCTGAGTGGAGGGGGAGAGAGAGAGAGAGAGAGAGAAGAAATAATCATGTGATAAGAAAAAATAATTTACAGATTTGGGTTGGACTATACCAGAGCCTGAAATTGACATAGACAGGGATCAGGTCATCCCAACTTGTTGCTTCGTTTGATCTTCCGAAATCTGGAGAAACCTAGGCGAGCTAGATCATACTGGTCGTAGACTCACTGATGTCGATTAGCCGATGAATGCATGAATTGTTGATGTGGATCACCAGCCCGCTATCAGTATAAACTAAAATGGAAAATGTAAAAGGGAGTAAAATCCATTTATGTGAACGAGGAATTTGGGCAGAAGTATTAACTTAAATGGAAAAAGGGAAATGAACAAAGACCATTGAAACCGATCAGCAACCTAAGCAAAGAAAAATTAATATTAAAACTAAAATAGAAAAGGGAAATGAGGAAAACTTAGCAATATCACCGAGCAACTTGGTATAAATGTCATCCAAAAATGGGAAAGCCAAATCAGCAAATACTATTGATTTCGGCCAGCAACTTGAGCAAAAAATAATCGACTGCAATGAAAAAGTTAAAAGATTGGGCATTATTGACTTCGAACAGCAAGTAAGAGCAGATGTTTGGTAAAATGAAAAGGGAAAGGAGCAAACATCACTGTTGTCGATCAGTAACTCGGTATAAATGCTGTCTGAAATGGAAAAGGAGATAGAAGAACATGGTTATTATTTATTTAATTCTCCTTGAACGTCGGTAAGTAGCTTCGATGAATTATCATAATAAACTAATATTAACGTTCACAGGAAGCAGGATAATTATTATTTATGTTTTCCTCCCCCGAGGAAGACGGGCGCCTTTAAGACGATTAAATGCAGTAAAATAATATAAAATCCCTTGAAAGGTAGCCTCCGCCATGCGTAGAAACCAACATAATTAGAAAAATAGACTCCCGACCCACGCTCCTGCGTGCACGAGGTCAATGGGCCAACGAAACGTGTGGTAAGCCCATAACTGTCTGGTCCAAATCTCTTGAGTGGCATCACAAGTGGGATATGGCGACAGTCCAAGTGGCCTGCCGGGTCGTGATCCTCGTACCCACTTAATTCATATCAGCCGACCGTGATAATTTAACGAAAATCTAGGCTTGTTGGAATATTTTGTAGTGTCCTCTTGGTTTTATATCTCCTTTGAAGGGGTAACTATGATATCGTGAAGAAGGTGGCCTTTCTATCCGCCTGTTTCCGGTTTTGGCTCCCTTCTTCTGTTGCTATGGTCTCCATGGGATGGCGTTGACGTTGATGAAGGGTGCGATTCTTGATGGTCAGCTCATGACCGATGGGTCCCCATAAGACCGACGTTATGATATGCACATAATGAGGGGAAGATGTTGGTGTTACCGCAGATACAACTACAGATTGATGGATTTATGTACCACCCTCCTGATAAGATGTCCATCCTCAGTGGAAGATCTCCTCTTGATCTGAATCCGTGCTTGTAAGGGTGATCTTCTTGTTGAGAGAAATACGACCATAGTTCGCACGATTTGCACAGGACCCGAGCGAAAAAGACGTGCATATCAAGGGTGGAAGGTGGAGATGTCTATAGAGACACGTCCCATAGTTTGGTGGCTACTTGCCAGGTCCATCTGGTGATATGTGCCACCCTTAGTTGAGGGATATTCTACATACGAGCATGGTTTTATGAATTTGAGCGATACTCATATTTGTCAGTTCTCACATCACGAGAAGAAGTTGTGGGTATTTACAGGAATATGGCCATACTTTGGCAACCACACGCGCTCTCATGGCTTAAACGATAAGCCCCGTCGTCCTAGAACATAACTAGGCTACAATTTTGTCTCGGAACGTGTTAACAGTTGTGATAGCATACATATCCCCACAAGAGCGTTGACTGTGCGTGGGGGGGAACATCACGTCATGTTGGCGCAATGGAGGGGTGACGAAGGGCACAGCCTGGTGGTGTAGTCTCGGTTGTCCTTTAGGATCACGACCAGCGAAATAAATAGCAACGCGGGGATGAAATAGGGGTCACCCCGCCATTGAATTTATTACAGTGGGGAGGGAGGTCCTTCACGTGGTTGCACCATGTAGGGTTTCGGCCGTCACGTGGAGATTACGACCGTCTCTCCTTCAAGATCTTGTTGGCATCTGCGAGATCGAAACCACTGCAGTTTGAACGGAAGCGATCAACGCAGATATCTGCCTCTGGGTGTACGTATATGAAGGAGACTGTTTGGAGACTCATAGGGGGGGATACATCGAGAGTTGCGGGCTTCGTAACCGCTCGAGTTCGGTTAGAGAGGACAGATGGTTTGGTGAGAATTTAGAGGGGAAGAGCCAAGGGGGGAGGAGGTACGTGTGGGAAAGAAGCTTTGGCCCTGTTAGGCCTTCCCCCTTCGTTTTGGAACAGGTTCGGTTCTCCAAGGCGGCCGTAGCTTTCCTACGATTTAGTAGAGCGAGACAGAGAGAGTGGAAAAAGGTTATTGAATGCCCCCGGACCGGCAAGTGGACTGATCCTTTGGCTACTCCTGTTTTGGCCGTCTGCAAAAATTAGGTTTGACCATCCGAGATTTGCTCAGATCATAAATAAGTTGCCATTGATGATGAAAACCAAACCTATCAGAGGTTAGAAACCTGGGGTATATATATATATATATATACACACACATAGCGAGAGAGAGAGAGAGAGAGAGAGAGAGACACACACACACACACACACAGAGATAGAGACAGATGGGAGTGTTAACCACCCGGCTAAAAGTGAAATTTTCGGTTATCAAATCAAATTACACAATTCTTGAGTTATCATATTTCCCTTCAAGTTTTAAAATTCATTTGAAAATAGATCCTGGAGTTATCTCGCCTAATTACTCCTCAATTTTGATGGTATTATCTGTAAGCCCAATTAACCTAAGGTACAAGGTCTAAAATTATTTAGGAATAATATAAGTAATCATTACAACAGTTGAAGTTCCCGAAAACTAAGCAGTTTATTCATAAATTTCTTGAAAGTAGGAAAAATGTCCAATTTATCTCTGGTTGATTCGTTGAAGGTCTTTTATAATCAGCAAACTGGGTGTTTTTTCCATTGAATCTTCCTCTCTGTGAGGATTCACTCGTATTCTATATATAGCAAGCTGTAGGGAAGGGTGTTACATTAAAAAGACCTAATAACCTCCTTATGAGCCATGTTCCCTCTCCCTCTTCCAAGTAAATCTTCTTATGGGCCATGCACCTCCCTCCCCCCCGCCCCCGCCATCTCTCTCCCCCTCTCTCCCTGCCTCTCCCTCTTGCTCTACTCTAAGTGCCTCGGCCACCTTTCTTGGTGTAAAGACTAGCCTTTTTCATCGTTTTAGAGAGTTAATGGCAGAAATAAATGGCATGGAATGGTGGTAGAACATTATGAGAACATAGACATTATTTCGATGGTCAGGACAACTAAAGGAGTAAATTACCAGTATTTTTGAGGTATGAGACTAATAGCTGATGGAAAAAACATAGGAACTTGATAGAAGACTCTCACATGAGCCTACAAAGAGTTGACTCCATTCTTAATATTCAATGTCTTTAAGGAGTGAGAGACAAATGTACCAGTAACGTGGCAGATAGTTTTTCGGAACTAATTTGAAAGACTAGAAAGATCTATAAAAGTATAAGAAAACATTTTCAAAATAAATGAAGAAAATAACATCATAAATAGTCTGCAGTGAGGATTTTTCCGATTCAGCGGCTTGTAGATCGATTATTCTTCAAGTGGATCAAACGTCACCTATGACCCTGTTCCCACGGAATCTCCTTCTCTCGTATTTATTTGGATGAGGGGGACGCCATTGATGACTAACTGATCCTCCGCAGTCGAGACGTGATCAACTGGAGAACCCTGCCGACGTTCTTCTGTAGATGTTGAAGGCAGTAATACAAACCCCTCCCTCTCTCTCTCTCTCTCTCTCTCTTCATATATATATATATGTATGTATGTATCTACGTCTGTTTTGCACTAACATACGTAGGTGGTCCAAGTACGTTAAAAGATAAGTACTATTCATGGTGGAGATGACGCAGCCATCTTTACCATCCAATATGCACAAGATTGACACAGTGTAGGACGTAAGGCACGCGTTGGGGTACCTTTCTTGTACATCTTCCTCCCTAACCCCACAAACAGATGCATTCCCGTGTTCAATCACAAAGCCACACCCTGTCCTCTCTCTCTCTCTCTCGATCACTGTCCATCTCTGTCTATCTCCATCGATACCCTTCCTACTCTCCGTACTTTGCCAACCCTCTTAAAGGCACTAGCCTCTCATGGAGATCAAGTCCCTGCCAAATAATGGGTATCCAGCCGAGTCACAAGAAAGCAAAAGCGACCGCAGAGAACAGAAGCTTTTGCTCTTCTCCTCCAAGAATATTGTTGAGTTTTGGGCGTAATTTGTCTTTTCTAAGAATTCACATAATTATCTGTCATCCCACACATGCTAGTTCTAGCAACATCAACGATTACCTTATCAGATAGGTAAGAGGGTTTCAAGGGTACTCAGAGATGGTTACACGGGAGTAGGAACTAGATTTCGTGTCTACTGCATTTTGAATTAAGATTTACACCGCTAATGAGCATCATCAATAGGGAAGAAGAGATAGGAACGAGTAGAAGAATTATCCCTCTCGCTCTCTATCTATCTCTATCTCTTTCTCTCTCACTCAGATTAATTAGGGTTACTATCGTTGTCAGACACGTATCCCTCTTCGTGGCAAGGAGCGCCGGCCCGTTTTGGTCTGCGTCTTCTTCTTCTGTCTTCCGCCGTCTGTCTACTGAGACTTGACGTCCCCATGACAACATAAAATACATCATCCTTCAAGCCAGACAAGGTGTATGGGGGAGAGAGAGAGAGAGAGAGAGAGAGATCTTTCGCGGTTAAATATGCATCCTAGTTACGTTGCTTTATTCTTCAGAACTGTCTATAAACACCTCAGATGTCCTGCTACTTCTTCAACCACCATTAGAGAAGTGGTTAAGCTAGAATTTTGCAGCGATGATCATCAGAAATCTTTCTGATATGGATAAGATTCAGCCGAAGAATAGGGCTTCCCCGGTGCAGCCCATTGAATGCACGCGGTTAGCTCTGAGAAGACACGGGTAGAGAGAGAAAGAGAGAGAGAGAGAGAGAGAGAGAGAGAGAGAGGGTCTCTTATCACTCCCCACAATCTCTCTTCACCTCAACCCCAGGCTGACTTTTGGTTCCCCAGGAGTAAATGTCCCTCGCTGGCCTCTTTGACTATTTCTGAATCTCTCTCCCTATCTCTCTCTGTACAACTCACACTCTGCTGCCCAACGTCACGAGTCAGCGCGTCTTTCACACAGAGGAAGCTTTGCGACTCCTTTCTGTATATATACGAGAGGAAACCCGCTTCGATGGACACATGTCCAAGCAAGAAGAAGAAGAAGAAGGAGAAGGAGACCTCGTTCCTTTCTCTTCACAGGCATCAAATAAGGAGCCACAGATCTCCCAATCTCTGTCTCTCTTTCTCTGTCTCTGTCTCCGTCTCTCTCTCAAATCTTTCCCAAGAAGAGGGACGGTGAGATGGGTCGGCCACCCTGCTGCGACAAAGTTGGGGTTAAGAAGGGTCCATGGACGCCGGAGGAGGACATCATCCTGGTCACTTACGTTCAGGAGCATGGCGCCGGGAACTGGAGATCTGTTCCTACCAACGCAGGTGAGAGACCTCTCTCTCTCTCTCTCTCTCTCTCTCCCCTCCTTCCCTCTCTCCCCTCCTTCCCTCTCTCCCTCTCTCTCCCTCCCTCCCTTCTTCCCTCCCTCCCTCCTATCTATCTGTCTACCTCTTTCTCATCTTCTTGGGGCATCACTCTCTTTGTCGTTCCCCTTCTTCGAGTAAATGACCAACGATCACAATCCTTTGTCCTCCGCGTCTAATTCTCCCCCCTCGGGCTGTTATTCAGGGCTCCTTAGATGCAGCAAGAGCTGCAGACTCCGGTGGACGAATTACCTCCGGCCAGGGATAAAACGAGGCAACTTCACTGACCAGGAAGAGAAGACCATCATCCACCTCCAAGCTCTCCTCGGCAACAGGTAACAGAAAATTTTCACGATTATTGAAACATTCACAAAGATTTAGATGGTGGAAACTTTGGGAATAAACTGTGATGTTTGATTTTATGCAGATGGGCGGCGATAGCCTCCTACCTTCCAGAGAGAACAGACAATGACATCAAGAACCACTGGAACACCCACCTAAAGAAGAAGCTGAGGAACCTCAAGTCCGATGGCGGAGATGGCTCCCCGTTCGGTGGGCCAGCACCGTCAACGTCCCACCAGACGATGGCCAAAGGCCAGTGGGAGAGGAGGCTCCAGACAGATATAGAAATGGCCAAGCAGGCTCTCTCTGAGGCCCTCTCAGCGGAGACACCCAGCTTCATGTCCGAACTCTTGCACCCCCTCTCCTCTTCTACCTCCTCTTCTTCCTCTTCGAATCTGCGCAACTCGGTCGCAACTCAGACCCAGAGCCCCCAGCAGGTCTCTTCCTCAGCCGGCACCTACGCCTACAGCGCTGAGAACATCTCCCGGATGCTCCAAGGATGGGTGAGGGCCAAGCCGAAGCTCCTAGTCGGCAGCGCGCTCTCCCCTTCCGGGTCGAACTCGGACTCGACTCAGCACTCGTCTAGCAACGCTGTCGGTGGCGAACTCGGAGACGACTCGCTGGTAAAGTTTGACCAGTCCCTGTCGTCGGCGCTGAAGGAAGAGGAGGAGGAAGAAGAAGAAGAAGGGAGCATCTTCCACCCGGAGCGCAAGCCGATGCCGCTCTCCTTCCTGGAGACCTGGCTGTTCGACGATGGACTGGCTCAGGGGCACGAGGCGCTCATGGACATGCCCATGATCGATACGGGCGAGTTGTTCTGAGCCGGACTCGCATGGATGGATGATCCAAGAAGATGAAGTTTTCCTTCTCCCTTCTTCTTCGTCATCTCCCCTGCTCTCGGGTGTCTAGTTAGGGTTTGTACCTCTGATTCAGTGATTTCGCTTTGAGGCGGATCAGAGGAGAGAGAGAGAGAGCCCTCCACACTGGAGAGGGCAGAAGTGTAAATTAATCTACATATGCTTATTGAATGCTAGTTTGAGAATAATTCTCTGGTAATGCATGGGCTGCGGATGCCGAAAATAATTCAGGATACGTTCATTAAGAAGCTCTGAAGAGATCCGGGGGCTCGAAACCAGGGCCGTCTGACTCCTGTTTTTCCCGAGTTCGCGTGGCCATGGGTTTCTCCTTGACCCTTCTTCATTCCTTTCTCGAGAGACCAAGTCTACGAAGCTCCAGCGATCCGAGTTGAAGAGTTCACCTATTAGTCGTCGTAAGTGGGTAGAGAGTGGAGATGTTTCCCAAAAGTTTTAGCGAATACTATAATGTTTTTGTGATCCAAGTGTAGACTTCCATCAGAGCGGGTGTACAGATAGAGAGAGAGAGAGAGAGAGATGGGCGGCGGCAGGACCTGCTCTTACGTCTCTCTCTCTCTCTCTCTCTCTCTCTCTCTCTCTCTCTCTCTACGCCGACGGTGATGGGAACATTATCCATGTGCATGTGTCTTGTGGCTGTGCCCTCCGGACGGACTCCACCATGTAAATATAAGATCTTGCCGGATCTAAGGCGGGATTCTACAACTCATCCGAGAGGCTAAGCGAGGCCCAGGAGAGTAGGACTCTCTGCCCAATCTCGCCCTCTCACCATCGACCTACATTGAGAAAGCTCCGGGTGGGCCATGCACGTCGGATGATGATCAGACGGCTGGTGGCGCCCCCGAGCCTACGTCTCCTTCTAGAAACGCTCCGAAGAAAAGAGTCCATACAGAGCCCGAGAAACAAGAGTAAATGCATGACGCATTAAATGTATCCCCCCGCTGAGCCACATGCGAGCGGTCTCTTGACCAAGCTCACTGCTGAGCCCTTCTTTATTCTTCCCCATTCCCGTGTGAAGAGAGAGAGAGAGAGAGAGAGAGAGAGAGAGCAGGGGCACGAAGGAAGTTTCCTCCGGGGATAACTCACATAAGGGAGAAGGCCCTAGTGAGATAAATGACTCCCATCAGATCCAGCTGTATCTTTCTTCTTCCCCTCCGCGTGAACTCCTCCCCCCCTCTCTCTCTCTACCTCTCTTCACTTCCCTCCCTTCTTAACCAGTCAGTCAAGGCGAGGCTGGTTGCAGTAAGTGCCGCCATTACTCCCCCCAGAGGACAGAGCCGTGTGCAGCGCCACCTTAAGGTTTCTGCAAGCTTTGACTGGGCGCCCCCTCCCCATTTGTCTCCCCCCTTTCTCTCTCCTGTTGACCTGAAGGAGACCCTTCGAACCCCCGGGAACTCCCCGGTCCACGTCGCTGACCTCTCACCGACGAGTCAGAGGAGACTCGTGATGCACTACTCGCCATCCGATCAGCATATCAGCCTATCCAACGGCTGATCTTCGTCAACATGGCTTGCCTCTGATCCTCTCTGCAGACGTCACACACTTTCCGGAATTGGGCCATTTTCCAGCTTTGGGAATTGATGGGAATATATCCTACTCGCTTGGTGGGCCACGCTGAATCTCTAATGGGCTTATCCAACTGGGCACAGTATGCCCAACATAAAAGCCCAGTATCAGCCATAAGGGCTTTTTCGTCCCCGCCAAACCAATAACACTATTGGGCTGAGATATCTAATTCATACCGAAAGAGCCCACTATCATAAAGACTGTGCGTGTGGACCCGACCCAGTAAACATCCATGCTTTCATCCGTATTCGGATAGTCCCACATCAGTTAACTGAAACAATCCATTGCGGGCCCACCTCCCATTATTGTGAGAGGATCAGGCGTCGCAGTCAGGGACCCAATTGAGCCGACAACACAGAATCCGCCGATTTGGATCGGTAATCTCTCTCTCCCTCTCCCTCTCTCTCTCTCTCTCTCTCAAAAGGTCTTCGTGGAGGGCGAGCGGGGCCGGGCCAACTTGCTTCTAATGCACCCCACGAGATTTCCATTAACTGATGAGGATCTTGATGCGGAGACCTTCTATGATGGCGACCCCCACCCCACCCCACCCCACCCCTAGGCCGCCGAGCCCAACGAAAAAGCCAGAACATTCGGCCCCGATCGGAACCCCCCCCCCCCATGCGAGCGAGCGAGAGCAAGAGAGAGAGAGAGAGAGAGAGAGAGAGAGAGATGGGCCTCGTACTTCAGACGGGCTCTCCGTCGGGCCGGGCCCATCTTGGGCCCAGGGGAAAAGCCCACATAATTTCAATTGGGTTGGGGGGGGGGGGGGGGAATAATTTCGTGAAAGTATTGATGTAAAAATAAGGGATGGGGATAATGACGACGACGACGACGATCAGGTGGGAGGGGTTCCATGGACCACAGTGGCAGCGAGAGGGAAACAGGATAAGGTTCCTGGTGGGGCGCACTTGGACCGATGGGGACCACAGAAAAGGGGGGGAACCGGGCGGCGGCGAGGATCAGATGGACGGTCGGATTGACCCCCGTTGGCGAATGCGGCAATAAATAGATGGATTTGAAGAGTTTTTACAAAATAAATGCGATAAAGGTCGTTTTCTTTTGAGATTAAATTTAATATTCTAATCATGATTTGGGTCCTCAGCCCAGTCGGGTTTGCGGCGGGTCGGAGGCGGCGCCGCAGCCCCCACCGGCGAGCTGGACGGCGCGCTGCGGCTTCGCCGTCTCTGGGAACCTCTTGCAATAGCGAGATAGGGAGAGGGAGAGGGAGAGGGAGAGGGAGAGAGAGAGAGAGATGAGGATGGTGGGGAACAGCAAGCAGGGCTGTTAAAGTTTCCTAATGGGGACGGGTTGGAGGATATTATATTAGGGTTTTGCACATATCAAAGGGGGAGCTTCCCCGAAGAGGAAGGCGGAGGATCCCATGAACCCCACCAACCCAGCAGGATCTCCAACCTCTCTCCGGTGAAGAAGAAGAAGGCGATAGACAGAGAGAGAGAGAGAGAGAGAGAGAGAGACCACCGCCGGCGGCCGGGGGGCACAGATCTCAAAGCTCCCAAGAGGGCTGTTTAAGACCGGACTGCAACTAGAGAGAGAGAGAGAGAGAGAGAGAGAGGAGAAGAGGGGGGATCGATGAGTTGGTGGAGGAAGTAACTCCCCCAGTAAATTCCCACCGCCAGCATCATCATCATCATCATCATGAGCATCACCATCGTTCGCCGGCCATGAATTGGTACCGCGGGGGGGCAATCAATCCACCGCCGGAGGGAGGACGATGATGGCGATCCTTCTTTTTCCCTCAGAAATTACCATCCCTCCTCACTTCTGGTTAATCCGGCCGGTAGACTTATGAAGAAGAAGAAGAAGAAGAAGAAGAAGAAGAAGAATGGGCGGGGGGGGGGGGAGGGGGGGAGAAACCCTAGCATTACCATTACCGCCCTAGGATGAAGGAGAGGAGCTGTTGATCACGTGGCCGGCGCCGGCGCCGCAGTTGAAGCCGTCGGCGGCATTGCCGCCGGCGGGAAGGTGGGCTCCCCCGGCGGCGGCGCCCCCGCTGCTGCTGGTGGCCTCTCCTCCGCCGCCGGCGCTGCCGGCGCTGCCGGCGCCGGCGGATCTCCTGGAGGAGGGTCCGCCAACGAAGTTGTGCTTGTTGTTGTGCATCCAGACCTTGAAGACACCCCTGGAGACTCCCATCTCCTGGCAGCACTGCTCCACCATGGCGTCGTCCCTCTTCTGCATCCGCCATCCCAGCTTCTCCGACAGCTCCTGCATCCTCTCCTTCTGCTCTGCGCTGAACTTGGTCCGGAATCTCTTCCTCGGCGCGGCGCTCGCCGTCGCCGCCGGCAGGGAGGAAGAAGACGACCTACCAAAGGGCCCCCCCGTGAGCCCTGCGCTCAGGGCCATCAGCATGTGCGGGGCCGAGTAGAACTGCACGGCGGGGCCGCCGCCGGCGAGGGGCGGAGGAGGAGGAGGCGTGCTCTGGCCCTCCTCATCGTCGACGGCCTCGTCCCCTTCTTCCTCTTCCTCCTCCTCCGCTTCCCTGTCCTGGTGGCGGCGGCGGCGGTGGTGGTGGTGGTGGTGGTGGTGGGGTGGAGAGGGGAGATCGCCGGAGAGGAGGCGGCGGTGGAAGTTGCGATGGCAGCCGCAGGCGGCGCAGGTGAGGGAGGAGGGATCGGAGAGGGTGGACACCGGCGAGGGCATGAACTCACCGCAGCCGTCGAGGGCGTGGCCCCCCATCGCCGCTGCGTGGTTCTTCATGCACTCCCTGTAGATGCCCTGCTGCTGCTGCTGCTGCTGCTGCTGCTGCTCCGGCGGTGGCGGAGGAAAAGGGTAAACGGGGCGGTGCTTCTTAAGGGTGCCATTGGAGAAGGAGATGGGGAGGACGGGCCGGCGCTTGAGGTCCTGCTCCCCCAGTGGCTTCTGGGTCACCGGCGGCGGCGGCGACGACGGCAGCGGCGGCGGGCGAAGCTGCTGGAGGTGCTGGGGTTGGTGGAGCTCCATCTCTCCACCTATCGGACCGCCCACCGGAGGGTCTACAGCTCCGGCGGTGCTGGGGATCCCATGAGAGATAAAGCGCCGCTCTAGAGAGAGAGAGAGAGAGATGGTGGCGAGTGTGGAAGGGGGCAGTAGCGGTGGGGGGTGAGGAACACTAATAAAATGAAGGAAGAAGGGATGGGAAAGAGTGAACGGTCATTTTCTTAACGCCGTGAAATATCTGCGATGTGGAAAGTTTGGTGTCGGTGGGTCGCACACCGTGACTTGACGCCGTTAAAAGAGTGTTTAATATTAGGATAAGAAATTTAGACATTTAAACATGTGACGGAGATTCGACATCGCGCGCCCGTCAGATCAGGATCCGACAGCCAGAAGCGCTCCCAACGCCGCCGCCTCCGACGAAAAGACGAATCAATTTTGTCCCCCTTGCGAAATTGTGGACCCCACATTGTCGTGGACCCTTCGATCTGATGATGGGCCTTCGTGGCCCACTGTCCTGGCCCATTCAGGATGGGAGGGGGGGCAGCCATGTGATTTTCAAGGTTGGTCAAAGTCAAATATATATAAATCTCTCTCTCTCTCTCTCTCTCTACCTTGCCTATTAATGGGCTCCGTTGGGTGATACAGCTAATGTCTGTTGAGCTTCCCGTGCCTCACTGACTCAGAAGAAACAGAATCTCTCTCTCTCTCTTTCTCTCTCTCTCTCTCTCTTTCTCTCTCTCTCTCTTTATCTCTCTCCTTCTCCCCTCTTTAGACCATGGGGTCTCAATGTCGTGAAGCCGAAACTCCTCTCTCTCTCTCTCACGTCGAGGGAGAGGACAACCTGCCCAGGAAAACTGAACGTCATCTGGGGGTTCAGAGGGATCCTTCTGCTGCTTCTCCAACATATTTTAACGCCGCAAGCCCATCAAACTGACCAGAGGACAGCTCCAAGAACTGGTCAACGTCGTCTCCGCCGGCGACAACCACGCCACCAGAAACGACGAGCACCCATATGATATCCTCGGGATGGGCTTCTGGTTTCTTGGCCAAGGTCAATCTCTGAACTTCAGTCGCCTACCTCTCTCTCTCTCTCTCTATTGATCACTGCGAGTTGGTGACCAAGAGGAGTACTGAGCTCTCTCTATACGAGAATCCCAAATGAAGCCACCGATCCTTGAGAAGAGGAGGTCCATCCTCTACCTCTGCATCCTCTCCGTCTCCCTCCTTCTGTTCTCCTGCTTCTCCCTCCTCCGGGCCGGCGGCGGAGCAGATTCTCTCACTCCCCCCTCTGTTACTAAGATAATGGCCGTCAATGATAATTCATCCTCGGTGTTGGATTGTGGGCTCCGCCATAGAACCCTAGAGATCGAGAGCAGCTCCGATCTGAGAACCAGGAGGGAATCCTGTGACCGGAAGGATTTAATGTTTCTCAGGGTTTACATGTACGACCTCCCCCCGAGGTTTCATTTCGGGATGCTGGCCTGGGAGGGGAGGGAGGGGCAGCTCTGGCCGGACCTCTCCGGCGGCGGCGCCGTCCCGCGGTACCCCGGTGGGCTCAATCTGCAGCACAGCGTGGAGTACTGGCTCACGTTGGACCTCCTTTCCTCCGGCGGTCGGTGCGCCGCCGCGGTGCGGGAGATGAACTCCAGCGCCGCCGACGTGATCTTCGTACCCTTCTTCTCGTCCCTGAGCTACAACCGCCATTCCAAGCTCCGCGAGAAGGAAGGGGGGAGCGAGGACCAGCGCCTGCAAGACGAGCTGGTGGAGTTCCTGCTGCACCGGGAGGAGTGGCAGCGCTCCGGCGGGAGGGACCATCTGATCGTCTCCCACCACCCGAACAGCCTGGCCAGCGCGAAGCTGAAGCTCAGCGCCGCCATGTTCGTCGTCGCCGACTTCGGCCGCTGCTCCGGCGACGTCTCCAACCTCGGCAAGGACATCGTCGCCCCCTACCAGCACGTCGTCGACTCCGCCGCCGGCGAGTTGCCTCCCTTCGACTCCCGTGCCACCTTGATCTACTTCCAGGGCGCTATCCACCGGAAGAACGTGAGCTTCTTCTTCTTCTAGGTTTTCTTCTCCTCCTCCGGCGCTGATTCTCGCTGAACCAGGGAGGCGCCGTGCGCGAGCAGCTCTACCATCTGCTCAAGGACGAGGAGGACGTGCACTTTGCGTACGGGGCGGCGAGAGGCCTAGGGGTGAGGAGCGCCGCCAGGGGGATGGCGACGGCGAAGTTCTGCCTCACCATCGCCGGCGACACGCCGTCGTCGAACCGGCTGTTCGACGCCATCGCCCGCCGCTGCGTGCCCGTCGTCATCAGCAACGACCTCGAGCTCCCCTTCGAGGACGTCCTCGACTATGCCGAGTTCTGCGTCTTCGTCCCGGCGGCGGACGCCCTCCGGAGGGGCTTCCTGGTGGAGCTCCTGCGCGGTTTCCGGCGAGGGGAATGGCGGAGGATGTGGGAGAAGCTGAACCAGGTAGCCGGCCACTTCGAGTACCAGTTCCCCTCGCAGAAGGACGGCGCCGTCCAGATGATCTGGGGGGCCGTGGCCCGGAAGCTGCCCTCTCTCCGGCTGGCCCTCCACCGGGAGAGCAGATTCCGCCGGAGCTCCCGGCGGCGCCTCCAGAGCTCTCGGGAAGATGCCAAGTTTTTCAGAGACGCCGCCGGCGAGGTGGGAGACGGGAGGAGGATCGAGAATTCCAGCGTGAGCTGAATGAAAAGTGTGTGTGTTTCTCATTTTCTTTCTCTCTGAAGAAGCAAGCGAGCGGCTATGGAAATGAATTTGTGTGTCGTCTCTGTACACGGCTCGCCATGGTGGAAACTACTCGACGTGAAGAGGGTGGTAGAGAGAGAGAGAGAGGGAGAGGGAGAGTAGAGTATAGAGAGTGAGAGAGAGATAGAGAGATAGAGAGAGAGAGAGAGAGATAGAGAACAGGAGATGATCTTCTTCAGCACCTGTTGTGAATGGGGTCGGACCCCCGGGGGACCCTCCGCTTGCTGTCGAGGACGAAGGACAGCGGCGGCGGCGCACGGGCGGCGCCGCCGAGTTCCACCTCGACGCCGGCCCCGCTCCTGCCGCCTCTCCGGCCGGCGACTTCCACGCCGGCGGCCATCTCCGGCGGGGCTGCGGCGAGCAAGAGAGCCAGCACCGCTAGGAAGACGACCAACCTGCGACACCCGGGAACCATCGCCGCCGCCCTTTCTCTCTCTAAAACTATCTATCTGCCTGTAGCTGTCCCCTCTCTGGGTTACTCGGGGGGATATAATCAGTCCGGGAGAGGAGGAGGATCTCCAATCATATGGCGGCGAACCCGACCAAATCTGCTGGAGAGAAGGAACTTGCTTCGGAGATTCTGACAGGCGTGGAGTGGAAAGAGACGCTCGGTAGGCCATTCTCGGGAAGCCAAGTATCTCCCCTTCCATGGGAGCGGTGGGTCCGCCGGCAATCCAAGCATCTTCTTCTTTATCCACCCCCCTCTGCACCGTTCTCGACACAGCAGACAGCCCCAGAAAAAAAGAAGAGAGAGAGAGAGGGGAGAGAGCGAGGTCTCTTTATGGTTTCTGTATATTTCACAGAAGTTTAGGTTTGTGGGGGTGGAGTGGAGAAGATGGTCATGGTCCAAGAGAGACTGACTGGTCATGGTCTTGGTCCAAGCTTGGGTTCCCCACCTTCCCCCACCCTCCCTCCTTTAACCTTCCATTGAAAGCAAAAGCGGTCTTCCCGACTGTGCCACCTTCTCTCTCTCTCTCTCTCTCTCTCTCTCTCTCTCTCTCTCTCTCTCTCTAGCTGGCAGAAACCTTCATGAGCTCGTCTCCTCCAAGATGAGCGGCAGCTCCAGGGTCTCGCCGCCCCTCTGAATTCTCGCCAGAATCTTATCCCCCACGCCGTAGTCGTCCAGCACTCTCGTCAGCCCCGCTTTGCTCCTCACCTGCTCAAGAGGACGGCGACCCCTATTCAGAGCGGAACAGAAGAACAGGAATACCAGGAGAAGGAGGAAGAAGAAGAAGAGGCTTACGGGCTTGCCGTCGATGGCCACGATGACGTCCCCGAGGACGATGTTACCGGCGAAGCCTCTGCTCGTCGGAAGAAGCCCCGCCTTGGCCGCGAGGCTGCTCCCGGGGACCTTCGGGGAAGAAGGAAAACCAGGTGGTGAGCTCGATCCGAGGAAGAAGACGATGTGGGTAGGTGGGGGGGGCGGGCTGCGAGGAACGCTCGTACCTGCAACACCAGCGCTCCATTCCGGACGTTCAGCTGGTTCGCGATCAGGTCCGATGCTATTTCCACGTTCAGGCCGGCGCGGACGACCTGAGATGCAGAGAACACGACAGAAGAAGAAAGCTTCAAGGACTTAAACCCTAACCTTCCTCCCACCACCACCACCACGACGATGCCCAACAAGGATCTTGAGATAGAATAAGGGCATACATATATAATATATATGAACACGGTAACAGAGAAATTATCCGTTGAGGAGGGCACTCATCCCTTGAAGATCTGAGACAAAAGCCTACAAAAAAAACAGTTCTTCGTCTGTTCGATCTTGGGAGAAACCACCCAAGCTTCACAGGGATTGCAGAAACCCAGCCAGGAACTACAAGCAATACCAGTTATAAAAAAAAAAAAAAGCCTTCAATTCATCATTTTCTTTCTAAAAAAACAGGCATTAATGGGTGATGAAAATCCTAAATACTGTATAAACTTGTATCAATAATTCAGCTCATAGAGCCGGGGAACGCCCAATTGTTCCAAAAATGGGCCCCGGCCAGCAAAGACGGAGAAAGAACCGCTTTTCATGAGAACCCAGATAGGAATCGACCAACAAAAAAGGGTTCATGCGAGGGTTGATGATGTTCTTGTGTTCATGCGATTAGTCTGGTGTTTATTTCTCTGATAATCAATCCGGAGCTACTGCTCAGCCATGACGCAGCGCAAGATGGGCAAAGAAAGAAAAAAGGGTGAAGGGTTGACGACTCACTTTGCCGAACTGGATCAGCTGGGGCACGATTCTCAACACGGTTGAAGATGGGATGGCGAACCCCACTCCAGCCGACGTCCCTGCATTGAAGGACCACCCAGATGATGCGACATAATGGGTTTGACTTTTCATCACAGCTGTTTGACATTATCCAGTCGACGGAATGAACAGCAAAGAAGCAAGGGCGAGTAACGTAGCAGCATTCATGCGTGAGATTCGTGCAAAGTCTCCTCAGATTTTAAAGCATAAGCACAAGTGATATGGGAAAGGGATCTGCCTGTTTGAGTGAATATGGCGGTGTTGATTCCTATCATCTTTCCCTTCGAATCCAGCAAAGGGCCGCCGCTGCAAAATATTAGAAAACCATAGTTTGAGACATGCTGCAGATGAAATAATTCGGTGGGAAACAAAAAAAAAAAAAACTGCAAATATGGCGACTAAAATCAAGTAAATTAATGCATCCATCTGGGGAGAAGAAGAATGCAACTCCACTTTGAGTTCCAACTAAAAATAATGCATCCATTTACGTGGTTAATATTGCAGCCTTCACACTGTCCAATGCTTCCAGAGACGAAACCCGACATACAAGAGCTATTTAAGCACGGCGATTGGATCACATAAACGTAGGATAGGATGGTTTTACAGGGCCCATGGAAAAGAAATCGCAACTCGGGATTGGCCTACATATTTTCATCGATTTAGATATTTAAAATAATCCCCTTTGAACATCCTTGGGGAATATTTTAGAGGGATTAGAAGACAATCTAAAATATTTTAAGGAATTCTAGGGAACATGGATAAAAACTAAGATGCCAGAGGAATAATGGATCAGAGATATCACCTGTTTCCAGGGTTGATTGCTGCGTCTGTTTGAATACCGCCACCGATTGTTACACCCGTCTGGCTAAAAATTTCTCGATTTAGCCCACTGATAACTCCGACAGTCAGAGTATGATCAAAACCAAATGGATTCCCGATGGCCAGACATTGCTGCCCAACTTTTAGATCAGATGGCTCCACCAAATTGATTGGCTTTAAAATATCGCTTGGAGCTTCCACCTGTCACACAGAAAGTTCACAGAATTATTCACGCTACAAAAATATGAGGAGCCCAGTTCTCAGCAGAAGAAACTGGGACAGTTTCCTTGAACATCCATGTGTGCATATAATTATTATCACTAAAACGATCACGAAGCTGCATATATTTATGTATTTTAAACACATATTTTACAGCCGAAAAGGGGATGTGCATTGGACAGTAAAATCGGCACCAACTCAAGAATAAGAATCAGATATTCATCCGGCTCACAGATATTATTAACTTTGGTGCATCTAGGGACATAATTTTCCGACTTGTGGTTATTTGGATCAGAATTTTAGAACCCCCAAAGATGGAAGATCTTCAAGAAAAAGAAACCTACTTCATTCGCTGAAGGGCCATGAAATCATGGGAAGGCCATTTCGGAAGAATCTAATGAAGCAGAGGAATCCATCACCTTCGGTTGAAGTCTCAGGAGTCCGGGACATGGATATCAGGCTAAATGCTTCAGGTATCAGATTATCTTCCGGAAGAAGAAGCCTTCATTCTGATAGAATGACAACCCAAAAAAAAAAAAACATCCGCACAAAAAGAGGTGATAGTTTCTAAAATCCACCACTGTTCTTCTCCATAGTCTGCCAAAATGGATGATATGGCATGCACACGCATTCAATTTTTTTCAGCTGGCAACTACCGAGATGAACAAATATCATGTGTTCATTGTGAGGGTAGCCAGTCAGCACAACACTTTGATTCCCACATCTCTGTCGGAGAACTCTTCACTTCAAGAACCAGTCATTAGATCACAAAAGCGCATTGTCTAAGAGACCTTCATATGTTCCTCATCGAGGATGAAAGAAATGTACCTTCAAGACAGCGAGATCTTTAGCACGGTCTGCACCAACCAATTTACCCTCGAAATCCTTTTGCACCCTTTTGAATAAGTCAAGCCCGTGATCAATGGATTATAGATGTTGAATGGTTATAGAATACAGGCAGTGCACATAGGTGGTAAATCACCAGATGGCGAGAAATCATAAAGGCTCAGAGCCCCTCACCCTTCAGAGGTAAGAATGTTCACACGGGCAACAACCTGGCCAATACTTGGACTCCTTGAGAGAGCATTACCAACCACTGGCAGAAATTCGGAGAACATTTTCATCAGTTCTTGTCCCATGGTGCAGGAATATCAGATTATAGTAGAGAAATGAAGAGTGTGATATAACTAGTCGATCAAATTAATCTACATGGAGTGAAACAGGCAGTTCTCATGCCGTATATTAAAACTGGGATATACAGCTAGACTTGGGCTTACCGTGATAATTCGTCACAATGTGCCCTTCTCCATCCCAAACAATTCCGGAACCATTTCCTTCTGGAACCTAGCCCATTCGTAACCATATGAAATCAATGCTCACATGATAAACTTTGAAAAATTCTTTCAATATTCTTTTCCAAAAGCCAAGATGCTAGAAAAAAAAATGAAACACCAGAAAGAAATCCCAATACCTCAACAACACCAGTTACATTAAGCTGAGGTCGCAGGGTTACGTCAAATATGTTGACAACAGAATACGTATTCTTCTCGAAGAGCTTAGCAATCCTTTCCTGTCAACGATTTTGTGTAATTTGAGGGGGCAGCGCAGAAATCAGGGCCTTGATTGAGTAAAGAAGGAGATCAACCTCGGACGGAAAGAGCGGCCCAGAGGGGTAGACGGTGGGAGATACGTCTTCAATGGTTACCGAAGGATCCCCCAAGGCGAGGGCTGTCAGAAGAATATGACATCACATTGCATTGATCATTTACGTGTAGAACCCATGGAATTGATTGTTGCGAATGCATTTACTCTCAACCTGTACACTCGTGATGGATGGAAATGACAATGCGGGAGTCAATTGAATGACGCACGAAGAGCGAACCTGACAAGTACCTTGAAGGACGTAAGCTCACGCAGACGGCCAGGCTAGCCAACACTCTCCGCCGGGTGATTGAAGGCAAGTTGTTGCGTACGGCTTCGTCGAGATCGTCATCACGATCCCCAGATTCGCTGGAACCACGAAGAACTCAACAAGAAATCGGATTCTCCGTCAAAAGATCACCGCTGTGGCATACTTTTGCACGGAAAATGCTCATGTATACTCACTCCCCTCCGTAAGCCCCAATCCGCCAGCGAGCACCGTAAGCAGGACAAGGAGCAGAAGGAGGAGGAGGAGGAGGAGGAGGAGGAGGAGGAGGAGATACCTTGAAGGGGAGTAGTCATCGATGCCCAAGCTGCGCTTCCAGCGGTTGCATCTGCCAATGGAGGACGCCCCGTCCAAGAAGATCCTTCTCCGACCGAAGCGCTTCGGGGGAGCTCGGAGGAGGATATCGTGGGGCTGCGCCGGCTGGTGGGAAGCTGCCACCGCTTGCAGCAGCATCCTGACTGCTGTTCCTTACTTCCCGAGAGAGAGAGAGAGCGAGAGAGAGAGAGAGAGAGAGAGGAGGGAGAGAGTACTGGAGGGGACGAGCGAGGGAGACGAGGTACCAGAGAGGGACGATAACGCTCAATTTTTTTTCGATTAAATAAACTTTATTTGTTGAATGAATTAAGTCCATACATGGGAACCGGTACAGCCCAGAGAGAGAGAGAGAGAGAGAGAGAGGAGAGAGAGAGAGATGGAGAGAGATGGAGAGAGATGGAGAGAGATAGAGAGCTAGAGAGAGAGAGAGGAGAGAGAGAGAGAGATGGAGAGAGATAGAGAGCGAGAGAGAGATAGTAGAAGAGAGATAGAGAGCTAGAGAGAGAGAGAGCAAGAGATAGAGAGAGAGAGAGAGAGAGAGAGAGAGTCTGACTATGATGCAACAGTGAATGGTCTCACTGTCCTCTCTTTCTTCAAAGGTAAGTGCCACCAGCCCATTTCTCTCTCCTCCCGCAGCTACGGCTAATTAATAGCATATTTATCTGTGTATATTTATAAAAATATTCATGCTAATAAAAACACTTTATATCAAGAAAACGCTATTTTTATTTGCATAAAATCCCCTACATTTATTGTTTTTACTGTGCTATCCTTTTTATCCAATCAGCCTCCATCCAGCAGAGCGACCAAAGGATTATAGCAATTTTACTGTAGGGCCCCCATAAGGAAACTTATTGCACCTTCACCTTATCAGGAGTGACCAAAGGAATAAATACGTCAATAAATTAAAGTTGATGTTTGCTCATAAAGCCTCGAGGGCCTTCAACGCTAATAATAAAGCTGGTGGGTACCAGGCTCACTTGCTCGTGAAAGAGAACCTATAATTACTTGCCACGTGTCAACTCTATTACGTCGCTTTCCTGATTGGTCGGGGATAACAGAAGCAGCATGGTTCGCAGGATATGATGTTACTAAAATACCCCAGAATAGACCTGCGATTTTGCCGAACTGGGCTTCCGAACTGGATTGAGGGGCTTATTGGTAAATATGTGAAATGGTAGGAGATACCCCGATATTTTAAAGAACAGACACTGCGGACGATCAGAGAGCGGTGGGCCCATGGATGACGTAGCACGATATCTTGACTGAGGTGAGGTTACCGGTTTGGGATTAGCTGCCTGCGCAGTGTAATCCGCCCCCGGACCGGAAGGTGGCGTGGGAGTGAAGGTAACCGAGGAAGGTTTCGCGTATCTGACGCAGAGGGAGAGAGACAGAGAGAGGGAGATTGAGAGAGAGAGGAGAGACAGAGAGAGAGAGAGGCAGAGAGAGAGAGAAGCCCGTCTGATCTACGAGAGTATTTAAAGAACGGGGAGACGTGAGTTTGGAGCCTCAGGGCTCTGTTAGCCCCTCTGCGAATCGAGATCTGGGTTTCGTATTCTAGTTTTGGTTGATGGTGTTCATGTGGAGGAGCAAGTCGCGGTTACACTAGGAGCTATTTTTTGGCTGGCGTCGGCGTTATCGTCGGCACTTTTTGATCAGAGTGTGAGGAGCGAGGAGGAGGTCGGAGTTGGTGCTCCTAGGAGGTTTTGGTGCTGATCTTCTGTCAGGTGTCGCGCCGATAGCCCGCGGTCCTGTTGGAGGGGTTAGGGTTTTTGCGATATTCCTTGCTTGCACGGATCTGTTGGTTCCTTTTCTACTTTATCTGCGTTTCTACTTTGTCGTGGTTTTTTGTGTAACCCTATGATTCTAGGGATTAAGAGCGGGTGCTCTCCTTCCTCGGGTGCTTCTTTTTTCCTCGTTGATGAATGGGTTGAAGTTTTGGGAGACTCACTCACCGTTTGCCACCGTCCTGTTCCTCTCGATTTTTCCCAACCTTTGCATCGAAATCTATTGATGTAGTATAATATTAAGCCTGCGATCGTTTGCAACAAATGAAGAACTGATTGGTAGCCTCTGATCTGACGTGCTCGATCCACTGGACGCGTTCATATACCTTGCGATCTTGCCGCGATAGGGATGGGGATCGGGCTTATTTCTTCAAGTGAAGAAGATTTTGGCATCTCAGCTCTCACAGGCTGGAAACCTCCCACCTTCAGTTTTCATTCCTCCCACGTTATTTGTAGTTGAGAAACGAAATGGGATCCCTTGTGATCCCGGGACGTTCAATTGTGAAGGATACGCATTCGTTTTCTTCACCCGGGGGGCACTTTAGCGTCAATTTTTGGGCGTGCCTATGAAGAAATTGCAGAGTTGTTTATTTTCAATTATACTTGACAATATCGATCTATGTCCTCGAGTGAAATGATCGTGATTAGTTCAGATGATTAGCACTTTTCCTTGGATTGAACTCAACGTGAGTTGTCCAGACTCTACCATGCTTCTGAGAAGATTTAGATCGGCACTGGGATCTTTGGGGTTATTTTTTTTCTCGTCAGAATCCAGATCATTATGAATTCCTCCCTGTTTGGGAATGATTGTGATTAGCCCAGATGATTGGCTCTTTTCTTCGGATTGAGCTCAACCTGAGCTGTCCAGACTCTACCATGCTTCTAAGAAGATTTAGATCGACACCGGGATCTTTGGGGTTATTCTTTTCTCGTTAGAATTCAGATCATTATGTGTTCCTCCCTGTTTGGTGGTTCTTATTCTGTTGCCATGCTCGTGCTTCCTCCTCCAGTTGAACCATGCCTCCGAAGGCAAATGGGCCGGACAACAGGACCCGTAGCTCTTTCTCCGTGTTGATCGTGGTGGGCCTCTGCTGTTTCTTCTACATTCTGGGCGCATGGCAGAAGAGTGGCTTCGGAAAAGGCGACAACATAGCCTTGGAGATAACCAAGCAGACTTCATCATCGGGAGACTGTGGAGTCTTGGCGAATCTGAACTTTGAAACCCATCATGATGGCGGCGGCATCATCCCTCAAGCCCCCAATGCAAAGGTCGAGGTCTTCAAGCCTTGTCCCGAGAAATACACAGACTACACCCCTTGCCAGGATCAGAAGCGGGCGATGACCTTCCCTAGGGACAATATGATCTACAGAGAGAGGCACTGCCCTGGCAAAGATGAAAAATTGCGCTGCTTGATTCCGGCTCCAAAGGGATATGTCACCCCCTTCCCCTGGCCGAAGAGCCGCGACTATGTGCCCTATGCCAATGTCCCTTACAAGAGCTTGACCGTGGAGAAGGCTGTTCAGAACTGGGTCCATTATGAGGGCAACGTGTTTAGATTCCCCGGAGGAGGGACGCAGTTTCCGCAGGGGGCAGATGCGTACATTGACCAGCTTGCTTCTGTGATCCCAATCGCGAATGGAACTGTTAGAACCGCTTTAGACACTGGCTGTGGGGTAAGTTGATGTTTTCTTCTGTGCATTTTCTTCAAGCGTGATGACTCTTGTATCAGTTTTACTGATTATTTTCTTGGGCTACTCTCTCTCTCTCCTCTCCTTCTCCCCTTGTTTTTGAATTCACCGGAGTGGTTGGTGATGACGCCTTCTTGCAGGTTGCGAGCTGGGGGGCCTACCTGCTGAAAAGGAACGTCCTGGCCATGTCCTTTGCTCCGAGAGACTCCCATGAGGCTCAAGTTCAGTTCGCGCTGGAAAGAGGAGTCCCCGCTGTTATTGGGGTCTTCGGCACCATGAAACTTCCCTATCCTTCTCGAGCATTCGACATGGCACACTGTTCTCGTTGCTTGATCCCGTGGTCTGAAAATGGTATCGGCCAATCCGAAAATCAGTGATCTTTTTGTTTATGTGCTTTCACTTCCTCCCAGCTCCAGTTGGGTACAATCCTTTGAAAATCATTTACTGCAGGAGCTGTTCTTTCGGGCTTAGTTCTTGCCAATTCCTTGCAGATGGAATGTACATGATAGAAGTGGACCGCGTGCTGAGGCCCGGCGGGTACTGGGTGCTGTCTGGGCCACCCATCAACTGGAAGTCACATCATCGAGCCTGGCAGCGCACCGAGGAGGACCTCCGACGGGAGCAGTCGAAGATCGAGCAGGTCGCCGATCTCCTATGCTGGGAGAAGGTCTCCGAGAAAGGGGACATCGCCGTGTGGAGAAAGAGAATAAACGGCGAGTCCTGCACCGCCAGGCAGGATGCATCTGAGCCCAACATGTGTACGGCTCCAAATCCAGATGATGTCTGGTAATTGACACATTCGCACCCTTTTCTACTCGTTAACTGCTATTGGGGTTATATTTCATGGGCATGGCGCCTCGCTCCACACTGGGCGCCTCAGGTACAAGAAGATGGAGCCCTGCGTGACCCCCTTGCCAGAAGTGGGCGATCCCGGGGAGGTCGCCGGAGGAGAGATCCTGCCGTTCCCGGCCAGACTGAATGCGGTGCCCCCCAGAGTAGCCAGGGGCTCCATCCCCGGCGTCTCGGCTGAGGCTTATCGCAAGGACAACAGGCTGTGGAAGAAGCACGTTGAAGCCTACAAGAAGATCAACAAGTACCTCGTCTCCGGGAGGTACCGCAACGTCATGGACATGAACGCCGGCCTCGGGGGCTTTGCGGCAGCGATCGAGTCTCCCAGATTGTGGGTCATGAATGTTGTGCCCACCATTGCTGAGCCCTCTTCTCTGGCCGCCATATACGAGAGGGGCTTGATCGGCATATACCATGACTGGTATGACCCCCCCCCCACCACCGCCGCCATCATGACTGGTATGTCGCTGCCGCCTCGCTAGATGCTCTGCTTGATTATTTGTTGGTCTGGTTGCAGGTGCGAGGGTTTCTCCACCTACCCGAGAACGTATGATCTCATCCACGCCAGCGGCGTCTTCAGCTTGTACAAGAACAAGTGAGCCTACCCTCGCTGCTTCGCTCCTTTCTGTGTATAGAAACAGAGCAAGAACATGCCTGAAAGTTTTGTTTTGACCGGTGGAAATCTGATCTGAGACCCTGTGGGTGGGACGAAACCAGGTGCGCCGTGGAGGAGATCCTGCTGGAGATGGATCGAATACTGAGGCCGGAGGGCGCCGTCATATTCCGCGACGAGGTCGACGCCCTCGTGAAGGTCAAGAGGGTCGCCGGCGGCATGAGATGGGACACGAAGATGTATGACCACGAGGACGGCCCCCTAGTGCCGGAGAAGATCCTGGTCGCCGTCAAGCAGTACTGGGTCGGCGGCGGCAACACCACCGCCAACAGTTGAATGGGGCAGCCGCCAGGGCTCCTCCCCCGCCGCCGCCATGACCGGCGCTTCAGACAGAATCCAAGGGAACCCATCGCCGGCCCGGCCGGTGAATTTTGAAGGTTTTGTGGTGGAGGAGAGAGAGAGAGAGAGAGAGAGAGAGAGAGAGAGAGAGAGAGGGAGGGGGCTGACCGCCAGTGGAACTGGGTCTGGCGTTTTATTTTTTTCTTCCATAAGTCAACGGTTTCGAGTCTTCTGAAGTGGGTTGCGCCATGATTCATGGGCTTTCTTAAATTTTGTTTCTTGGATCAGAAATTGACGTGGGCTGTTCTTGAGGCTGCTCCAGTGAGATGCCCACCCTGATTAACCATGCTCAGGATTATATAAACTGCTTAATTAATTAATTAATTAATTAAAACAAAATGAAATAAACCCGAATTAGTGATTCGACGGAAAAATTATATTTTTTTTCTACCTTTTAATTCCTTTTTCTTAGAGAGAACCAGAGCCAGAGCCTCAAGGACGGGAGGGGAAGGGGGGGGGGTCCTTCCCTCCCGTGAGTCGTGTCCTAACCCTAATATTTCCTCTCCCTCCTCCCATCTCATCTTTCCCCCGTCCTCCTCTTGGCTGCCGTCCTCCATGGCGGTGGCCCTTCTCCTCCGCGCCACCGCCCGGAGGACCCCCTCCGCCGCCAAGCTCCGATTCCTCTGCACTTCTCCCTCTTGCCGCACACCCCTCTCCTTCCATGGCCAAGGAGGAGGAGGCCTCGATCTATGCCGGCGGCGATGGTTGTCTCTCTCCATCGCGATGGGCCATCTCCACATCTCCTCCTCTTCGTGCTCCTCCTCCACGGCGTCGGAGGAATCCATTTATTCTTCCGCCGCCGCCGACCTGTACAGACAGCTCCTCGCCGGCGAGAAGAGCGGCGGCGGGAGCGCCAAGCGATCCCGCGATGAGTGGGAGCAGCTGGTGACCGTCTTCCGCCACTTCTCCAAGTCCGGCTGGGCCTCCGACCAGGCCCTCGCCATCTACATCCCCGCGTCCTTCTTCCCCACCGCCGCCCACCGCTTCCGCAGCTTCGTCTTCAAGCTCATCGGCGACGGCCACTTCTCCCGCCTCCTCTCCCTCGGCCCCTCCCCCGCCGCGGACCGCTTCCTCTTCCCGGCCTTCGCCGACTTCTGCCTCGCCGAGTTCCCGGAGCAGATGAAGAAGCACCGCCTACTGGTCTCCTCCGCGGACCTCACTTCCCCCCAAACCTGGTTCCCCTTCGCCCGCGCCATGAAGCGGCGCATCGTCTACCACTGTGGACCCACCAACAGCGGCAAGACCTTCAACGCGTTGCAGAGATTCATGGAGGCCGAGAAGGCCGTCTACTGCAGCCCCCTGCGGCTGCTGGCAATGGAGGTCTTCGACAAGGTCAACGCCACGGGCGTCTACTGCAGCCTGCTCACCGGGCAGGAGCACAAGGCCGTGCCCTTCTCCCGCCACACCGCCTGCACCGTGGAGATGGTCTCCACGGAGGAGCTCTACGAGGTGGCCGTGATCGACGAGATCCAGATGATGGCGGATCCCACCCGAGGCTGCGCCTGGACCAGGGCCCTGCTAGGGCTCATGGCCGACGAGATCCACCTCTGCGGCGACCCGAGCGTGCTGGCCATGGTGAGGAAGCTCTGCGCGGACACCGGGGACGAGCTGGTGGAGAAGCACTACCAGAGGTTCAAGCCGCTGGTGGTGGAGGCGCTGACCCTGCGCGGGGACCTGAGGAACGTCCGCGCCGGGGACTGCATCGTCGCCTTCTCCAGGAGGGAGATCTTCGAGGTGAAGCTCGCCGTGGAGAAGTTCACCGCGCACCGCTGCTGCGTCATCTACGGCGCGCTGCCGCCGGAGACTCGCCGGCAGCAGGCGGGGCTGTTCAACGAGGAGGGCAACCAGTACGACGTCCTCGTGGCCAGCGACGCCGTTGGCATGGGGCTCAACCTGAACATCCGCAGAGTCGTCTTCTACTCCCTCTCCAAGTACGACGGCGAGAAGGTCGTCCCCGTCGGAGCTTCTCAGGTTAAGCAGATCGCCGGAAGGGCCGGCCGGCGGGGAAGCCGCTACCCGGACGGCCTGGTCACCACATTCCAGTCCGGCGATCTCCCTTACCTCGTCGACTGTCTCCGGCGGCCATTCGAGGAGGTGAAGCAGGTGGGCCTCTTCCCCTTCTTCGAGCAGGTGGAGCTCTTCGCCGGACAGTTCCCGGAGCTGCCGTTCCCCCAGCTACTGGACAAGTTCCGGCAGAGCTGCCGCCTCGACGGGGCCTTCTTCCTCTCCCGCCATGACCACGTCAAGAAGGTGGCCAACCTGCTGGAGAGGGTGGAGGGGCTCTCCCTCGTGGACCGCTTTAACTTCTGCTTTGCCCCCGTGAACATCCGGGACCCCAAGGTGATGCACCACCTGGTGAGGTTCGCCATGAATTACAGCTTGAAGAAGCCCGTGGGGATCTCGCTTGGCATGCCCAGGGCCTCTGCGCGCAGCGACGCGGAGCTTCTGGACCTCGAGACCAAGCACCAGGTGCTCTCCATGTATCTGTGGCTCTCTCACCATTTCAAGGAGGAGACCTTCCCGCAGGCGGAGAAGGCGCAGACCATGGCCGCCGGCATTGCGGACCTCCTCGGGAAGTCGCTCGCCAGGGCTTGCTGGAAGCCCGAGCCCCGTTTGCAGCGAGACCAGAGCCGGCGGCGCCGCCCCAAAGAGGAGGGGGAGGAAGAAGACGAGCTTCATCTAGCAGAGGATGAATACGGCGGCGGCGGCGGCGACGACGATGACCGCAGGGGGAGCGGCGGCTACTACGACCGGCCCAGGTCGCTGATCCCATTGTTTCAGAGGTGAGCGTCCTGCCCTAATTTTTTTTCTCGATTGGTCTGGCGACCACCCTCGATTTTTTTCGACGAATCACGTCTCGAAGAACTTCTGGGTGCTTCACTCTGTTCCCAAAAACTAGGAAAATAATTATCTTTTTTCCTTTTCTGGGGGCATCTTGCCGTCTTCTTCCTCAGAAATCGCCAAGAACTTGCTGCTTGCGACTGAAAATCTGCTTTGTTTTTTCTTGGGTGCTCGAAACCGTTTCTTGATGTTGGTGGGTTGTCTTCTTTGTCAGCAGAAAACGCAAGAGGAAGCCTCTCACGACGTCCTCTGCTCCGAGAGTGACCACGTAGCGCTGACTTTCTCGGAAGATGGGAAAATTCTCGGCTCCACGCCGTTGACATCTACCTCTGACTTGCTCTCGTCGAGGCTGTTTGCTGTCTTGAAGATGGAGGAAGCTCGCCTTCGTCCGACCGTTGCTGTCTGAAGATGGCGGCCCTCGACGGCGGCTCAGTCGAGATGCTGGCAGCTCGCCCGCTCCCCGCCGAGCTTCAGCAAGGGGAAAATTTTCACAGAGAGAGAGAGAGAGAGAGATAGAGAGGGTTTTTCTTGGCTGTAAGCGGCTTCTCCTTCATCTCAGGTGAATCGGGTTTAGATGAATCAAAACTGTTTATACGTCGTCGACATGACCGCTGCTGTGTTCTCTCTCTCTCTCTCTCTCTCTCTCTCTCTCTCTCTACCATGAGGTAGAGACCAGACGTTGCTCTCACCCCGTAGAAGACTTGACGAGATCAGTAGCTTTTATTTACTCCAAAAATCAAATACAATCGCGTGGATCGATCGAACCCGCCATCTCCTCTCCAGCAGTTTGAATCAGAAATTTCCCGTCACTGTTCGCTCTACATGCATGCTCTCTTTATTCCCATCCTCACGGAGACCACCGCCCCCGTTCTTCGGCACAGGCAGAGGAATACCGGCGGCGCCGCCTCCCCAGGGCTACATGAAATCGGGCTGGCCGGTGGAGGTCAAACACCGGTGCCACATGCGGCTTTTGGGGTCAACCTGCCTCGTCGAAGCGATGACCTCGGTGATCGGCAGGTACACGTAGTGGGTGTTGCAGATCCCCACGGTTATACCGCTGAACCCCGCGAACGCCCCGTGAACCTGCGCAGCACAGAAACAGATCACATCCCAACCAAACCCTAGCCGCGAGGAAGAAGAAGAAGAAGAATATGCTCCTCGCCCTCTCCTTATTTCTTACAGCGTTCTGGCCGAGAACAGTGCAGAGGATGGCGTCGGAGGCGTTGGCCCGGCACGCCCGGATCATATACGTCGGGTCGATGTACTTCACGTCCGCGAAGAACCCTACTTCCTTGAAGTGCCTCTTGATCTGCACCATGAGACGTTCGAGTCAAAACCCATCTCGGGACGATGATGGTGATGAGCAAAGCGGCCAGCTTTCGCGAATCGAAACCCATATCGGGGCGAGACAGAACTCAGCAGTACAGGACCTTCTGCTGGATGTGGACGCCGATGTCCCCCAGCACCACATTGCCCGACGCATCCTTCGCGTCTGGCTTCTCGATCAGCTCCTGCAATCCTGAACTCTGAGCAAGAGAGAAACAGAGAAGCACAGAGAGAGAGAGAAGTAGAGGGATAATGGTGGTGCTCACCTGGCCGGCTCCTTCGGCCACGCAGACGACGGCGGAGCCCTTGGACTTGATCAGATGCTCGAGGTGCTCGAGGACGCCGAAGGGGCCGTCCAGTTTGAAGGGAACCTTCAGAATTTTCACCTCAGATTTCACCGGTGATCGGGAGGAATCCGGAAGGCCACGAAGGAGAGAGAGAGGAGGCTCGCCCACCTCAGGAATCAAGCAGACGTCCACCTGCCCGCTCGAGAGTGACGCGTACATGGCGATGAAGCCGCTGCTCCTCCCCATCAGCTTCACCAGCCCAACCCCATGGTACGCGCTCCGAGCCTACCATGAGACCGGGCATTGGCATAATCATATCATCCACTTTTTATTACATACATATTTATCTATTTATTTATTAATATATATATATATATAGATAGATATACACCTCAATGTATGCAGAGTTGATGGCCCTTTGAGCTTCTTCCACGGCGGTGTCGAACCCGAAGGTCTTATCCATGAGGAGGATGTCGTTGTCGATGGTTTTGGGAACACAGACCACTGAGATCCTCAGCTTTCTTCGCCGGCACTGCGCACCCAGGAGACGAGGCATGAGCATCGAAAATTGCTGGGCTAAATCTCTATTCTATTCTTTATTCCTTAATTTAAAAAACCCGACATGAGCTTCACAAAATCATGAGCTCCGGGCTCTATTTTATTTTTTTTATTTTTTTCCGAATTAACACGGAGAATATGGGTTCTTCTTAGAAGAAATGTCATTAAGAAGATCTCGATTTTCTTTCGCTCGGATCAATATTACAATGAATGGAGATAATTCTTTTACTCAGCAGAAGGGAAGAGATTTCTTGGATGCACATGAACATCAAGGAGCCTATTCATTGGATGCACATAATTTATTTATTTTTTTCAAAAAATGAGAATTTAAGTGGCACACCAAGCTATTTCTGATGTTCTTTCCAGTATGACTGATGCTGTATTTTTATAAAAAATGAGATTTTAAGTGCCACCACTCTACCTCGTTGTGGATTGCGTTGGCCCCCGCGTGGGTGCCATTGCCTCCAAGCACAAAAAGCATGTCAATTTCTCTGGCCTGAAACATTTATCGGGAGAAAACCTGCATTGCTGTAAGAATAATTCAGATAATTATGACGTCACTGCAGGAAGTAGAGCACACCTCTATGCTATCCACAATGTCTCCAACACTCGCTCCCCCTCGAGAAGTCCCCAGGAAGCTCCCACCCGAGAGGTTGATATTCTGCACAACATGCCGCGAGAGCTGGGCGCGGCAGCCACCCACTGACCAATCAAGAACCACCCATGCCCGCAGATCACAATGAAACAGACAGCCTTACCGGTATCTCCTGCAGACTGCCATCGAAGAACCCTCGATACCCAAAGGGAATCCCCACAATCTCACCAACACCGTAGATTTCCAGAGTGAACACGATCTGCAAGCACGAGGGAACAGGAAAGATAAGAGCTCATGAGCTACTACGCCGTGCTTTCCTAATCTGGTAAGTTGACCATCGCCAGACCTGTCTGATGACGTCATTCAGGCCAGGGCAGAGGCCCCCACAGGTGACAATCGCAGCTTTCACGTCCTTTGGGTCGAAGAATATTTGCTTCCGAGGGCCTGCACGATGTACCCTGCATGAGAGAAGTATTGGGGTTAAGAGCCCATTGTTTTGAATTAAAAATAATAATTAGATTCATAAAGATTAAAGAAAGAAAGAAAAAGTCGGGGCCCACCATTGCTCCACCCAGCTGCAGTCAGGGTCAATGCATTCTGCCCCCGCAGAAGTTGGCGAAGAATACTTTATAACCTGAACATCACAGGAGACCGAAGTTCTTACTTACACAACAGAAATGGAGCAGCAAGAATGGTTGACTTAGCCACATTTCTTGAATGATGAACTAGTCATTCATTATATATATATATATAGATAAATAAAACCCTTTTGTTCTTCCCCTTTAGATTGTAGATATCAGATGGAACAAGAACACAAGTCTTCTTGTAAGTCAACAGGGTAAAGTGGGCAATCGGAGGAGGAAATCATGATCTGCAAGGGTGAATCCGTAGCTCCCCTGCCCCCATTTGATCCACCCAATTTGTTGGGATCCCGAGATCAATAGTTGATGAAAAAAATAGCACATATATCATAAAAAAAATGGAAAACATTGCTTCACCCACCATTTCCCAAGACCTAGCTTCAACCCACCAAAGCATACGTATTAGTCAATAAACATTTTTTCATGCTTCCTTTCTTCCTCACACTGGGGGGTTCTCAGGGATCAAGCGCCTGCATCTGTTATGTGCCAGGGAATTGAGCGCTTTGGATGATGGAGAGTGGCAATGCACGCATTCCCTATTTTCCCAAGAACAAAACCCTAGGCCAGACCCAGCTGACACACACTGAGGTTTCTCCATCTTTCCCACATAATCTCCACATCAGTTTTACCGAAAAATTTCACCCTAAAATTTTTATCTGATTAGGAAAGACCAAACAATATGATCTTCAACCTGTTTAACCTGGATTGTTTGCGAAAACAAAAAAGAAGAAAAAAAGTCACCCATGAATTTTTTTAAAAGCACACTGAGGTACCTTTAAAAGTGCTCTATCGTCATTATCCACATAATCGCTCCTTTTTGTTGATAAATTGGTTCCATCCAGAACTTGAGAGCCTCTGACAAACCCAAAGTCAACGGTTACAGCGCTATCAATCTGGGCAGTTCAAACACCCCACACTCCACAGTGAAACAGGCACGACAAGCAATTTGCTTGGCTCTACGGACATGCAATGCAAGAAAAATTTATGCCATTTGAGGGATCGAAATGAAGCTAGTACCCAGAAGGAATACCTGCTTTTCAGAGCAAAAGTAGTCGGTATTGGCTGCACATCAAGAACATCCTTCAGATGAGGCAGATCAAACTTCTCTTCGAATTCCTCCTGGTAATGTTTCTTCCAGTCTGGATCTCTAAAATATGTGTCTGGTTTCGAGATGATGGACTGGACATACATCGGCCGAACTCTGTGCCTTAGCCTCTGGGCCTTTCCCCATAAGCCGAGACTGCTGAGTTTCGACGATGACAGATCAGGCGAACGGACGACACCGACGGCGATGAAGGATGTCGAAGCCGACATTACCCCTCAGAAACTGTTTATCACGTATTCAGATGCGGTGACCTGCAATCGAATAAAGCTAGGATTGAGAAAAACTCGAAGATTGCTCACATTATGACGGGGGGAAGGGAGGAAAGAAGACGGTGAACCACAGACGTCTGGAGATCCTCTCCACAAAGAGACCCACAACTCCAGTCCTCCTTACCATCAAGGAATCATCCGGGAAGATGATGAGGAACAAGAAAACCAAGGAGGCGGGAGGGGGGGGAGGAGGGACCCATCGCATTGGATGAACGATTCAGGAGCAGGAACAAGAGGGCAACAACATGAGGAATACCTGCAGGCGGCCGAAGTCGACCCTAAAAGACCAGTTCACCGGAGAAGTCGCCGCAGACTGGGTACTACGCAGAAGGGGAAAAAGCAGAGGACCTTTTGATAGACAGCATATAGAAAGATGCGTGAAGAATCACCACCAACCCAGTTGGCCGGCAGCCTGCCCCTCTCCTCCGATTCTCTCTCTCTCCTTCTCCTGAAGAAAGTCCAGCCCAAACTCTATTTCTACCTTCTCTTCGCCCCATCAGATGGTCCGCCGCCTTTGGGGGGGAGGGGTGGGGCGGGAGCCCTCGGCTCGGAGGCATGGGCTGGAGACCGGAAAGTTTACCGGAAGTCTCTGCGGTCGTCAACCCTCCAATTTTGTCGAGGACTTATGTAAAACACTAACGACCGTAGTATCTGGGGGAAGTGATCCTTTATTATGGAACAAAGCATGTAGAGGTGAAGTGATACTTTCACTCAGGATCATGCTAATAAAAATGATATATAACTATATTTTATCAATTCAATGGATCTGATTGTTGAAATATTGACAAAGTCTCTAGTAGAAAAAATATTTAATTTTGAGGTGTAGTGCTGCTAAGGTATAGATTTTGAGTTATAATGTAGTAGAGATGACCATATATACAATTGATAACTATTGATACAAAAGTTGAGTTATAAAACATTTTCAATAATGGGTATTCAATTTATGAATTTAGTTTCAATAATTCTTTGCAGTCAATCAATATTCATTTCTTAATTGTTCATCTTAAATATCCTTGAAAGATTAGTTAATATGTACATTATGATTTTTAATTTAGTTGAAATGATTATATGCAGCCAATGAGTTGTGTAGTTTGGGTTTAATCTAAAATAAATTTATTTAATGACATCATTCATTGATTTGTGAAATATGTCACAATAAAGACTACTAAATTTGTATGTTATGAATTTAATTTCACTTTGATACAATCAATATACATGATTTGAATTTTTGAATAGCTGATTTCAAATTATTAAGTTAGTGAATTTTGAATTCTGAAAATTCAACTTGTAGAAATCAATAATGGAAATGCAATTAATAGAAATCAATAATGGAAATTATCAATTATTAATATATTAATGGTGGTGAAAATCAGTGGATCTATGAATTCCAAATACAATTCTACTTTTCAATTAATAGAGAATGATTTCTGAATCATTTTTATTTTAAATATTGCTAGAAGTTTTAATGATAAATTCAGATTTTTTAGACTGAATTATTAACCAAAAATAAACATAAATTGAATTGTATATGATGACAATCATTCAAGTGGTGCTTTTTTGAGATTGAATTTAGGCAAATGAGTCAACGGGCTGAAGAGGGTTGACTCACAACATTCCAAATCAGGTTGTGTTAGTTTTATCAATTTAATCATCCCTTGGATTTTAAAACTTATCTATCAGCTTCTCTATTGTCTCTTAGATTGCATCTCAATGTCACTTCTCTCCAAGCCTATAAAAACTGGTGCTTTAACCACATTCCACACTTTTTGCTGATCATGATTCACTCAATCTTGTCATTGTCATAGAAGAAAAGTGATAATTCAAAAATTATCTTCCTCATCCAATCTAATAAATACTTATTTATCACCAAGAACTAACTAATTATCTCTTTGATTTTTATCTTAATTAATCATAATAAACATGAATTACTATATCTTATCATATTAAAACAAATGTCAAAAGATATGTATAAATGACTCTAAACTTAGCTATACCTACATCATATATTTATGGATTTAATTATTAATATTTTTTAACATTTTTCTAATGTTTATCACCTTGAGGATGTATCTCAGTATATTAGAAACATAAGTTTAAAATTTTGAAATTTTATTCTAAGGAGATTAATTTGTATAGATTTACCTAAGTGAGAAAAATTAGCATGAAATGTTAAAGCTCAAAGACCCCAAATATGAGAAAGGACAGATTGAAGCATAAACAAATTAAACACAGCACCCAAAAGACTAGACTTAATCAAGCCACATAAAGGATGGAGAAAGAATGCCCTAAAAGGGCTTGGGTATATAAACCTTAGAGGTGACAAATGAAAAGGGGCTTTTTAGGCTCAGATAAGAGGTGGTAGTTTGGTGACAGACAATTGAGACCTTAGGATTGCATGCATTATCTCTCTACCTTTTTCTCTCATTTCTTAGCTACTTAAACTCATTATTATTTTGTAGATGACAAGTATCATTTAATAGATGACATTTTAATGAGTTTTTAATGAATTGTTCTTCTCTATCCTTAACTTCTCATGTTTTGATGGTGATACTAAGGCAAATAAAAGATGATCTATCTCAACTTGTGTAGTTTCTTTTAGGTTTATGAATTTTTTTGAATGCCCTAATTCAATGAATATTTTTGCTTGTCCAAATATTGTATTTTGGTAATTTGGCGACATAATCATCATGCACACCACTGAAAATTATTTTATGGGTTTCTTGGTTTGACCTTTCCTTAGACCGAATATAATTTCATGAGTGCCACATGGACTTAGGTTAATATCTTTTGGGAGAACATATCATAGTTTCTTATCTTCTGTAATTTTTTTGTAACTTTATAAAGTTTTCACAATAGGTTTTTAGATTTTACAAAAATTATTTCCTATATTTTTTATATTTTTGACCTTTCCTTGGAACTAATTTGATTTTACTAGTGACACATGGAATTAGGTTAATATTTTTTGGAAAAATATACCACAATTAGTTTAATATTTTTTTTCATGATTTTAGAATAAGTTTAGTTTAGGTTTCTAGATTTTACAATAACTATTTTCTCTTTTTTTATGTTCTTGATTTCTGATTTTCGACCTTTAGTAATATTGTTGTTTAGAGAGTGACGTATTGAATTATAAAATAGTTTTTATGGATATTAAATTAGAGTTAGTCATCTATATTTTTTGAGGTTTTACTAACTTTTAGAGTTAGATACCTTTGATATTCATAATTTACAAAAAAAACTGCTATTTGATTCCTTTTTTTTTTCACACTTTATATTAAAATGATGCTTTCAACTTTCTAATTTTTATGAGGATCAACTTAAAATCTCTATAATTAAAGAGAGTTATTTAGATTTTCAATTATAAAGATCAAGTTTGAGTGCTTAAATTACCAACGACTTTAGGGACATCACAATCATAAATAAAACTTTCTAGATTTTAAACGACAATGATACTCTAATTTAAATTTTTTGATTATCCTACTTCAACACTACTTTTCAGTTAACAAAATATTGAAATCACTATTGTCACAATATATTCTAGAAGATGAGACCATAGAAATTATGTAAACTTACCTTAAATATCTTATAAAATAAAAAAACTACTCCTATAATTAAATATTTAAATTTATGACAAAAAAGAGTTGATGGTTACGTTACTTTGAGATTTAAAATTATTGACACTATTTCCCCAAAGACATCAATTGATTTAACCTTTCAGTAGTGTCATATATTGAATAGTAGTGAAACCCATCTTCAAATTAAAGAAGACCTATTTACATTTATTCTTTAAAAACTTATCTACAACAAAAATTTGAGCATGCCTTTGTTACTAAGTCCTTTCCAAATAGGTATCAATTATGAATTATTTGGTCAAAAAACTTTTAGAATTGTCCACGGAAGCTAGTTGACTTGAATGTGTGTCCACTCCTTGCAAAACATATCCCATTTCAAATAGGCATTTTTTTGTATAATCTTAGTTTCATTGAATCTAGTTTTTTCATATTTCATTAAGGAAAATAGTCACAATGACAACCTATCTTCTTGCTCAAGCCTTGGGCATCCCTTCCCATGGCTCGAAATCCATAGAAATTTTGGATTATGATGCCTATTTACAACAACTCACTAGTATTACGACATGCCTCTAGAGATGTTTGAGGCTCCAAGCATGAAAAGAAACTAAAGGATGGAAGGTAAAAAGATAAGCAAGGGAATCCTAGAAGAACCTTAGGCTGTCTCAAAAGATTTCAAGAGGCAGTGTCACCGATAATTATCTCCCCTTGTTGAGCCCTAATATCACATTGTGTGACCTATTAATAACTCTTTTACATGCCACAGTGTGTGCCCTTATGGGCATAATTGTCTATTCCTTCTAAACTAGGTGATGATTGGGGTTGTATTAATATTCCTCCCTTTTCTAAGCACCTTGTCTTCATGGTCAAATTTAGAAATATGCAGCTGGTCCCATAAGATGAGGGCTTCAAGTCGTGTTAGGATGGTAGATGACGTGACTTAGTCGTTGTATATTAAATCACGTAAATATAAAATTTATAAAACTAGAAAATACGAATTTTTGGATATTTAAAAGTATTTCTGAATAAATATATCAATTATAATTCCATAAAACTTTCAAAAATAGCAGTAATTTTCTAAGTCGATCACAAGGATGTAATATAATATCTGATAATTATTTAGAATTTTCCTCAAAGAATACTATTTTCTATGAATTTTATACTAAGAAATGAAAATGAAATATATTTTAAATTCACGAAAAAAAAGGAAATAAGGGTGCGGACGTCACGATGACGTCAGCGCCCGACGAACGCGAATCAAGAGGAAATAGAGTTCTGCCCGGTGATTCCTACGTAAGCGATTACAAACGATTTAATTAATCAAATTAAGATCTGTAAAGGCCAGAAGAATCGTAATAGAACAAAGTATAT